GGTTTTCAAGATTCACACGTGCTCAGTGGCCAGACGTCACAGTAAAACACACTTTCAGTCAATTAAAATAACTAATTTTGCACCGTAATTTTCTGACTCACCCACAAAGGGAGAACCAAAGACATTTGTTTTATGGTTTTAAAACTTTAAGCTTTCAAGGAGGAGAAAGCCCTCCCTGTGGAAGCCTTGGGACACTTAAGGGAATGTTGGTTTTCCTCCTCATTTGGGAGATTAAAAAAAAAAATTCTTCAAAAAAGCTCTTACTTATAATGATTTTTCTCTTCCCCTGCTGGTGGTCCCTGGGGTTACCAAGGGGTACGGGTGTACCCGGGAACTGTATGAGGAACAGGGACCGCACAGCAGTGGGCAGAATGTACCCTTTGTTCTGGGCCTGGTCAGGAAATAGCTGTGAGGCCCAAGACAAGTTACAGCTGGGAGCTTCCTGTGTAGAAAGAAGTTGGACCCAGTGACCCTCAGTCCTTGAATTTCCCTTGGCACGTGTTTACTGGTAGCCTCTCACATAGATGGAAGGGAGGCCAGACCCAGTCCCAGCAATTCTCTGGGGAGCCCTTGACCCTGGGATTTTATTTACATGGCTTGAAAACCACTCGAACTCAGAGCAAAGACTAAAAATAACTGTTGGAGCTTACTGCTTTCATCCCCTCTCTCGCTGTGTCTCTCTCTGTCAAATAAGATCTTAAAAAAATATATAATGTATATAAAAAACTTTCTTCTCAAATGTAATGGGCCAGCTTTGCAGCTGGAGTTAAAGAGATTCTGCCCATGAATAAAGGAGATCCTAAGTTTTTCCTTGTTAAGCAGGGCTGGTGGGAACTTTACAGTCAAGGAGGCCTGAGGAATGGGAAGAAGTAGAGGCAAGTGGCACCAGGTTTTCTCACCCTATACTATAAGCCAAAGAAGTTAGCTTATATCAAAAGCAGTTTTACTTCACCAGAATGCCATAGGCAGGAAGGAGAATGCCCCAGTCCAGGAACCAGGTTGAGTTAGGTAAATAGACCTTCCCAAGTGTTTCTGGTAGTGAGCTTGCACACTGTGGCCTCTGGGCTGTTCCCTGGGCAGGGGACTTGCTAAGGCTGGCATTACCGCTGCTTTTCATATGCGGATACCTGAAGCATATACAGGGGACCTGGACAGACATAAGCCCCTGGAGTCTCCGATCAAGAATTCTCTGGACCTTTCACTAAAGAAACAGTGAGATGCAACAGCCTAAGAAGGATTGCCCCTCAGGGTTTCTACCCAAGTGTAAAGTCTAGAACTTCCTTTGGACTGAAACAATCTGTCCTTGTCCTCTGGCTCCAGCTGCAGAGAATGTCTGGGCGCTCATGGCCATTCCTCCTTGGGAAGGCCAGAGTAAAGATGGACCTGTCACTTCCAAACAGGCCTGAGGTAGGAAGGAAAACCAGTTCGGCAGAATCCCAGCTAGCACTGCCTTTACCAGATCTTTCTCCACTGTGGTTCAAGTCCATCCCTGGTATTTTAGGAAAACTTAAGATCAATTTTTTTTTTTTTTCACATATGTTCACTTGGTATCCTGGATCACTCCTGTAACGTTGTCATTGGTATTCATGATCGTATTCTGGAATACCTTTCAGAGCAAATAGGGAGGTGGAATCCTCTTGTAAGATTTGAAGAGATACTTGCTTTGCTCTTGAGGCCTTATTTTAAATCATTACTGCATTAAAAATAGAAAAACAAGGAATTTGTCAACTTCTCCTAGTGCGACTTTCCTAAGGCCCAGACCCCTCTGGCTGCATTTGTGACTTGTGGACGAATGTCTGAACCACCTGCCCGGGGCCAAACTAGGCGTTAACAGAAGCCAGCTTACCACGTCGTCTTCAGTCCATGAGCCAATCTCAAAGGAGGGCAGCAGCTGCATGGGAAATATGAATGCAGTGAAAAACAAAAGCAATATTATCATTGTCTTTTTGGTTTATCCCTTGTCTTCCCATCTTAGCTTTCGGCTGCTGCTCTGGCTTGGTGCCTCCTGCAGGTTATGTTCAATGGGAAGCCCCTTTCCTGACTTTCCTGACTTTTCCGGAATTTCGCAGTGCTCCAAGCATCGTGCCCACAGAAACCAACCACGGGCACCAGCTTCTTCTCTGTAACAACTCCTTGCACTTGGTGAGCTGTGGCAGTGGGACCGTAGATCTTGAGATTGTCCTCTCTTGGTACTTGGCACACACACCTCCCGCAACAGGACTTGGCAGTTAAGGAGTTTCTGACGTATGCCAGATACCAGAGCCTCCTTTGGAATTCCCAGTCAACAGGGGGATCATATGATTATTAAGGAAAATTCCAAAGCAACCAACCCCTTGGTGATCAGATGACTTGCATGCTTCTTCTTACAGGAGAATTTCTAAGTGGTTAAGCAAATGACTCACTTACATTAATCAAATATTAGGACCCATGGATGGAGAAGGACAAGTGAGATGGGACTCTGTCCCAAGAAACCCAGGTTGCAGAGTTTGCTGTAATGAAAACTCAACTAACCTCCCTATTAGGTGTAGACACGAAAGGCAACTCTGCAAAAGAACTTTAGCCTGCATCATTTTCAAAGCCAGAGAGCTTCTTGCTTGAGTAGATGCCCATGGCCATAGCCTAAATGAGACATGCCTACATGATCTGAAAAAAACTGGTGTGTCCTGTGTCTTGAATGAAAAAATCTGCCACAGCCATTAGCCTTAACTAACTTACCTCACCAGAATGGTTGGATTGCTCATAACATGGCAGTGTCTTGCAACCTTTGTTAAGATATTTTTTTGTGAATGAGTTGGAAAAAAAAGTTGAATTTGGTTGCTTTTACTATTACTCTAAAAATCAGAGGGTGGGTGAGTTAATCCTTCTAATTTGCAAATATTTTGAACTCACATGCTCTAATCCCAGCTAGGAAACGTATGCCCCTCCCTTCCAGCAGCTTTTAATTTAATGGGGGTGAAACAAATATGGATTATAGATGGAGGAGTTCAAGGCTGCCTTCGTGCTGGTTCACTCGGAGCCTGGCAGTGCCTGCCATACGATCCTGGGTAAATTTTTGTTAAACCATGTTGCTGAATGAATACGACTGTGAGGTATAGTAACTAAAATGCTCAATTCTCTGGTACAGAATTCAATGCCTGTGGATTTACCAGGGAAAAGCGAGGGTTTCACAGACTAAGATGGGGGGAACGGAAGGCAGGGTGGGTTTAGCTGAGTACTACAGGGCAAGGAATAGAGAAGTTACTCTGGGTGAGGAGAAGCAAGAAGTCGAAACACCGACAGTGGTGTGGGGGAGAGGAAGGAAGGAGGGCACATTTGCCTTACCGGAGCACTGGACGTGGTGGAGGATAAAGGAAAATGCTTAACAGCTTTGCTTAAAATGCTTAAAATTCTCTCTGGCAGTGGTTAAAATCTCTAGGGAGCTAAGTAGATTATAAAAAAAAAAGAAAAAAAAAAACCCCAAACCCGCAAGTTACAATATATTTGAATGTGTAGGGTTTGAATATTATGGCTAAGTGGCAAGCGTAGAAATCACTGCTATTCTGTAGGTACCCAGGTGCCCTCGTTCCCTCAGGATTGCCCCTCTCCTCCTCTGAAATACTTGATATATGTTGGAATCGTCACAGGCACTCACCTGCTTCAAGGATGCAGAAAGGAAAATGACTTGAAGAAAATCTAAAACTGAATTTGATCACAGAAAATATATAACAGGTCTTACATCTTCACAGGGCAGCTGAATACAGCTGCAGAAACATGTCATTCCCTTTGCCCATCACGGAAACTGATGTGAAATAAGGAACTTCTCCAAAGAGTTCGAGGACCAACAGACTGAGTTACAGAACTATTTCCCTGCACCAAGGTTAGCCTCTCTGGGGAGTGGGGTGTGTGTGTGTAGTGTTTTGTTTGTATATAGACCCTGAATGGTGTGCTAAACAAAATAGGTAAATAAGTGTTTCTTAAATAAAAGTTGTACGTCACTACTAATCAAAACTAATATATTTGGTTTTAGGGTCCAAAGGAGAGGGGAAGAGTTCTAAGAGTGGCTGAAGATGACGCCAAGAGGAAAGGCATAGATTCGGTTTGCTAACCCCTCTGGCAGGACTCCTGCCCCAGGCTGGCAGAGATCAGTGAGGGGGAAGGCAGGAGCCAGGCACTGCTTCAAGATGGTTTGAATTTGGCAAGACTGGGGGTAAGAGTTAATGATCTCCAGCCACATCGTGGTTTACCATTTCCTTTATGCTCTCTGTACCTTCTTAGCATGTGAGTGTCTGCTGTAGGGTGAGCTTTAAGATTTTCATTCTTTGGGGATTAAAAAAAAAAAAAGCACCTCATGACTGTCCCCTCACTCTACAGATTCGTTACTTACACCCAACTGATTTCGGGAGAGGAAAGCTCACATTTGTGTGCATGTGCGTGACAGTGATGCCTTCCAAGGATGTTGGGAATCCAATCTAACAAAGATCGGATATACACAGCAACACATAACAAAGGGATTTACTGTCAAAACGTTTATTGCAAAATGGAGTCTTAAAACAAAGAAAAGCAGAGAAAAGTTCACATCAAAATGAAATGTATGACACCAACTTAGATTTCTGAATACATTGTGGACTCTGTGCCGGAATATCAAATTCCAACTACGAAATCAGTAGCTGAGTCGTCTTACCACACACGAGTGAAACGGAATCTTCCATACAAACATTATACACGATATTTGGCATAGGGTTTGCTCAGAATAACATTGTAATAGAATAGTTGAGGAAAAAAGGTTTTGTTTAAAAAAAAAGTGATAATGCCATCCTCTATTCAAAGCGCACACTCAATATAAATATTTTCTATTATTTAGTACAAATTTTGTTCAAAAGAGTGCAAAAGCAGTTTGTGCAGTGTAATGTACCTGACGTTAAAAGATAAACTATTCTGCACATTATATAAAATAATTAAGGTAGGTGCTGAAAATGCTAGTTGTAAAGTCAGTAATCACATGCCCAAAAGCTCCCCCCCTCCCCTCCTCAGGCCACATAATGCAATTCGGCAGAGTCCGAGGGGAACCCCCACTAGCCCTCGGCTTCCCTGGTGTACACTCGTTTTCCATGGCAGAAATGCTACTGTTTGCAGGCTATGCCACAATCTAGAGAACGGACCAGATTCTTCTCTCTGGCCAGGCTTAAAGCCAGAACAGGAAAACAGCCTGACTCCAAAGCCACAAAAGGTGCCTGATTATAGAAAAATGATGCCCTATTACGAACGTGGTGTGGTGAGACACTGCTGGTTGTTAACAGGCCCACAACGAGTCTAGTGTTAGCAAAAACCCAAAAAAGTATCAATGTTGAACTCCGAATAGCTTTTCTAATGAGCTTGTACGAAACGCTCCCTACTCCAGAGAGCGCGCGGAGGACTAAAGTTCCGTATGTCCCAGAGAAGTCACACCGCCGGCTCTCTGCCGCATCTCGCCTCCGATTCCTTGACTTTAATGGGGATCCGTTTTGAATAGCTCAGCTGTTGCTTAGGTCTAACAAATCTGCTGCCTGTTAGAAATCACTGGCTGAACGCTGGCCCTCAGCCTTTCCAGAGCATCCCAAACAAGCGTACTCTGTGCCTTCAACCCCTTCCCCTGGGTTAAGTATAAAATATTAAAATGTGATTTTCCTTCAACAGAAGGCCCTTTTAAATTAACCTGACTGCTCTGCAGGACCGAAGCTTCCTCAGGGATGTGTTTCTGTTTTATTTATTTTGGATTAGTGTGATAGAGGAGAGTGAGCCCCTCCCCCAGGTACATTTTGGGGTTTTATGAAGTTTCCATCAGGGGAAAGAAACCATTTTTCCACAAGTGGGGATTTAAGATAAATGTCACCAACCTATACAATTCAGATTGTACAGTAGCTGTCATTTTGAAACTGTGTCTTTTGAGTCGAGCAAGTTTGTTTAGGGGCAGGGTGGGGGGGGTGAGTTGGGAGAACTCTGAAACTGTCAGGGTTAGCAAGTTTCTCCGTGGGGGGAGGGGCACTGCTGTTGGTACTGTGGGTGGAGTCCTTCACTGGGTGGAGCTGCCCAGGGCTGCTGGGCACTCAACCGCACCCCTGGTTCCGGTGAGGACCCAAACTCTGCCCCAGCACTTGCGAACACCATTAGGGGCCCCAGATGAAAGTGGCTGGTAGGGTGTTCTCATATTCTGTATGATCGGCTTTCTGAATACAGAAAAAAAGACTAGTTATATTCTCAGTTGTATGACTCTGACGATATCACCAGAGTTTCAATTATCATTTTGAATCTCTCAATTTCTTAGGGTTTCTTTAATTATTCTCTTTATAAATGTACATTCTTGTAAGTCAGGTAATTGGAAATACATCCAGCAGCAAGAAATTGCCATTTCAAAAACTGATCTGGAAAGTGAATTAGAGGCAGCACAATTAACATCATCTTTAGAAATTCTATGTAATAAACAGTTCTTTTAAGAAGTGATAAAACTAATAATAGAGTCTAAAGATCTTCTAAATCATCTTTACAGATAGAGTGAGACCACTTTAAAATTTTGGTTATACGATTCAGATTTTAGGGATGTTCAAACCCGCAGAAAGACACTGATTTGGAACAAGAGAGTAAAATAATGCCACGTGGTAATTACAGTAGAATTCCAAGTGGAGAACAGTTTTAAGTTTCTCACTGAAGCTTTCAATTCTGCTGTATCCTAAACCCCTGAGGTTTCTTTTTGGTAGAGTACTGAGCTACAGTCATCCTGGGGATACTGGTGAGGAAAGTGACAGCACTTGAGAGATTGGGAACTATTACCTCATTAACGGTAAAACCTTGGTCTGAGTATAGAGTCCTATTACCTTTCTCTTTTGCCCTAATTAGCTACTTTCATGAAGGCACCAAAATTTTATGTGTAATTATAATAGGCTTATATGTAAATGAAGAAAAATGTCAGTTTCCTTCTATTTATATGTTCTAATTTTGTTGACGATGATTCTTAACTGAGAGACAAGATTTACATTCTTACGTAAAGTGCACAGATCCCAAAATTCGCAGAGATCCCCTTATCAGTGCAGCCTTCTCTGCCCACACTGTCCACTCCGCGGCACTCCCCCATGTGCCATCCTCTTTCCCCGCTCCCCTTTTCAGCATGCACTTGTCAACCGTTTACATACTAGTAAGGCATTTGTTTTGTTGATGTCAGGCTCTGCGGACATGGATGTCCTGTGGCGCAAGCATGGCCCCCTTGCTGCGCCCTGGAGCAGGACCTGGCACAGACGGGGGCCTCAGTGAGTATCCGTGGAACGGATGACTTTCTCTTTACCCCAAAAGATGGGCAAGAGGCTTTTAAACTGCTTCCTCTTTGGCTCTCTCCTTCAGGTTGCTGGACCACAGTGATTCGGATGTGCCCCGAAGTCAAGAGTTGAAAACCAGCCCTCTGCCCTGCTCCCAAGGTTCTGCTTGAGGGGCTCAGCTTGAGGGAGGGAGCACGGCTCTGCTGAGCACAGACAGGATGCCTGTACGTGTTCCTGCCTGGGTGCCGCCAGCACCAGCTCACGTCGGCTCCTAGGGAACCCATCTTCTAGGGGAAAGGTCTGCCTATCCGTTGTTTTTACCTAGTCTGTGGGTGGTGGCAGGGCCTCAGCTGCATAGTCTTCAAAGAGCAACAGATTAAATTTGTTTATATGGTTCATATTCTAGGAATGTTCTCTTCTACCTTTCCTGCAAGCCGTTCACTTTAACTTCCATTTCCTGCGACTCAACAAGCATGACTTGAGATTGATAGTTTAGTTCTCCAGGTTACTGTAACTACTTTTTTTTTAGTAACTTTTCACTGGCTAACACTGACTGACCACTTGCCATGGGCCTGGTACTGTGTTCATAAAACACACACACTGTGTTACATACATTATTTCACTTAATCCTCACAACAGTCCTTTGAAGTGGGTCCTGTTATTATTCCCATGTCAAAAATGAGCAGACACACAGAGGTTAAATAATTTTTAACAGATTGCACAGCCATTTTGAATCCTAACTTGACTCCAGATTCTTCTCTTTATCACTCTGGTATATAGGCTATGCTACATTTCACACCCAGAACATTTTAATGGTTATTTTTCTCCAAATAAAGCTGGCACAGCGTACTGATCATTCTGTGATATTTTTCAGCTGTTAATAGGGATTAGAAGCATGTCATGTTTCAAATTTTGAGAAGCTTTTTATGACTGAATATACTTGGAAATAGTATTAGATAATATCTGTGATGATATCCTTTCTTAAATTTCCCATAAAAAGAATCATCAGAAGTATTTTAGTGTAATAGTCAAATGAATGGCACTTCTTTCCAATACAGGCTGAAAAAAAGTTTTTGTGCCTTGGCCTTTCTGTGTGTGTGTGTGTGTGTGTGTGTTGTAGTTTTTTTTTTTAATCAGTGTTTTATAGTTTAAACAAGCTTTGACAAATATAACATTCTGAGAATATTACTCTGGCGAACTAGGTTTTCGGAGAGACACCTACATTTACTTCTGTTTAACAGTGGCATGGCTGAGTCAGGGTCAAAGGGAAAAAAAAGACCACTCTGGAAGGCTGGATTTGATATAAAAAGGACCCTTCATCCTATACTTCTGTCTCAGTAAGTATAACTTATCCTTGCCATTCCTTTCATAATCTTTAGTTCCCTCTTTAAAACCTCTCTACATATATCTAGAACCCAGGATGCTCCTTTCCCACTGGGGGTGCAGAGCGGGTCTGTGTCCCCACTTGATATCAGCTTGCAAGCAGCCCTTTAAGACCATCTCTTTCTCCTTTTAGAAACTAAGCCTCAGATAACAGTGTTGTTCAGAAGCTTCCAGGGCTAGCACTGGTATGAAAGCCTGCAACATCTGCTGTTGGCTTCAAATGAGAGTATTTCTTCTTCCAGTGTATTACTGAGAACATCTCTCAGGTTTTACTGTGAGTAGTTGTGCCATTAAGTATTGAAAATTTGTGGCGTTTCGGTATTTCTGAAGAAGTATTTGTTATAGTCTTCTTTCATCTCAGTTTTTTTATTGTTAGATTTTGTTGTCACTATCAATTATTTCTGACAGTGCAGTGTAATACCATAAGAAAAAAAAATGTAGTGTGTTACAGGAAAATCAGTGTCAGAGAAGAATTAGGAGGTAAGAGTGCTTTTTCAAAATGTAAGTCTTCTTAAGCAATTAAATAAATGAAATCAAATCAAATACAAACATTAAAGTATTTGTTTAAAAAAAAAAGAAAGCCACAATGTAATTAGTTAAAACTACTATATTGTAATAGAATCACAGATTTCTATAATCAGGCACCATATTTGCTGACTCATTAAATATACCCTTCTGCCTTAATTCCCCCCACTAACCCCCCATTTTTCTGTAAGCAGGGAAAAAAAAAAGTAAAATCATTCAAGAAATGACTGTCATAGAAATGTGATTGGCCTAAAAATTCAGTGCTCAGTTTTCTACTTCCTTACTGGTTTTTGTACAGACTGAGATAGCAAGTTTCTTCCGTTTTTCCACACATTTTCCATTTTATTATTTTGCTTTCTGCTTTCATTCACTATTATTATCCATGTCATTATCCTCCTCATCACCGTCATCATCATCATCATCGTCACCTTCTGACAAGTCAAAATCACTGAACCCCAGGGCCATGTTGACCTTCTTCCCCCTTCTCTTAGATGTGGTTTTGGAAGAATTCTGCTTGGCTTGCATGTTTATCTGCATCCCAGAATGCAGCACAGCTCCTGCTTTGTTCATTGAGAAGATATCCCCAAAGCCCATCAGCATCATGGCCTGCAGACTTTGGTTCATGCCATGGCCCTCCCCGTTACTTGCTGCTGTGATCTGACATGACATCTCTGCACTGTTTGACTCCTCTGTCTTAGATTCAAAGTAAGACTCCTCAGACATTCTTGCAGCAAGAGGCAAGAGAAGCTATCATGAGGGAAGAAAGGACAGAAGTAAAAAGAGAAATTAGGACCAATTTAAATAAAGCAAACAGATACCACAAAATTAGTGGGTGCTGCACAGAAGGTAAATGATTAGTGAAACAAATGAATGTAGGGAATTACTAGAGAATTTATTTAATGGCACGTTTGGCTTCAGCGTATTTGCCATAATTTATAAATGACAGAGTAAATCACAACCAAAAGTTTGCAAAGCATCACAACAGGCCAAATTTTCAAATGGGAAGGAAGTTCCAAGTTTTAAGCTCTCATTTCACTTAAAACAAAAGTAGTTTTGAGGACTGCACTTAATTTTTCCCAATTTCACTTTCACGGAGACATTTAGCTAACTATTAAATTAAAAAAGAAATTAAGTAGAGATTAAATCTCAAGTAAAAAAAAAAAATCAAGAAACCTTGTACCAAAGAATAAAGCTTAGAGGAAGCATGAAAACAGTTCAGTAGTCAGTACCCTTCTACGGAAATCTGGGCCATTAATCTCCTTTTTATCTAGATTACTATTTGAATCTAAACTAAAAACGAGTCTAGAATTCACTGGTTTCCATTTATTATTACAGCCAGATGTAATACTGGTTATTCAATTTATAACATAATTCATTTGTGAACAAATTCTAGATGTCTCTAATACTTAAGTATAAACAAGTATGTAAATACAGATGACAACTGGGAGGAGAGGAAATTAGTATTAATTTAAACTGTTACCTTTTGCTCTATTCTCTAAGTGTCCTTCTTTTAGCAGAATTTGTTTTCTAGGAATTCCCCCTCTCACATCTATTTTCTACCTTATATAATTATTTTGAACAGCTAACCTGTTCCCATAAGTGTTGATCATATTTCAGAGGCAGAACTGGCAAGATCTAAAAAGGGTTACTGCCTCTTCTTTTGAGGAATAAGCAATTGAGGCTTATCTTTTTGGTGTTGCTAAATAATGGTAACTTTATGATAAAAAATGTACAAGTAACATATGGGGTAACCATAACATCCTGGATGTTTAAGGCCAATTTCCTAATTTTTAAACTGGAGTTTGGGGGGGGGGGCTGTTTTTGTTTTTGTTTTTTGAAGTAATCTCTACACCGTCTGTGGGGCTTGAACTCATGACCCTGAGATCAAGAGTTGCATCCTCCTCCAACTGAGCCAACGAGGCGCCCCCTGGAGTTGAGTTTTTAAAAAAGTTATCTTACTCTATTAGGAAAAGATTGCCAGAGTTGTTAGCTCATGAAGAATTTCATATGTTTCAACTAAAAAGTACCAGTTATATGGAAGAAAAGAATTGCTTTAGCTCCTTTAACACCGGAAACAGGATATTACTTTCCTTGCAGTCAAACTTCCCAGCTTTTCAGATTTGTTTTCAATTGTTAGATTTTCTTAGAGAGCACTTTCTTGCTGATTTATTTTATTATTTCATGGGTCCTTCTTCACATTACGTTAAGTTCTCAACACAGATGTCTCTCAAATAAGTTTTTATTTTGAATAGCAATAAAATTTCTACATCAAGCTATAACAATCATTAAAAAAACCACTGTCCGAATTTATGTAGGGAGAATTCATCTGCCTAGATGATTTCAACTGTTTTAATTTCAGGAAGGAAAACAGCATCCTTCCTTGAAATAAATCCAATAATTCCATCTTTTATGAAGCTACATAAATGTTAGATTTTTATAATTAAAATGAGACTATATATATACAGAAAGCTTAAGCCTCCAGCTACTTCCTTTTAAAAAGCTTATTTTATCTTTCTCTCAGAAACCTCATTTAAAGTCAACTAGAAACTGATGTAAGGATGAAAGAAAATACCTACTTAGAAAATACCTGAGCACAAACTTTCTTTCCTTCAGAAATACCAGCTCTAAGCAGAAGAGACATTAAAAGCAAATACTGTAAGAAAGAAAACTTAGCCCTCATAGGTTAAAAAAAAAAGGGGGGGGGAGAAAATCTCTGAGATCATGCTTCATGCTGTCCATTGTTAGATGGTAGCCTTCGAAGCAGTTCCTTTACAGAAAGTTTTCTGGAGTTAAAATGCAAGCATACAACCTACTGAGCACTCCTACGGTTTCATTATTTATTACACAACTATGTTACTAAGAGCAATAGTGTGTGCAAGGCAGCCCATGATTTCTTAGCAAAACTAATGCCAATAAACCAAAGAAAGATTCTAAGGCAGACTTTAATAGGTAGTTTAGAGTTTTTTTCTTACAATGCTACATTTAGAAGGAGTCAAGACATGCAGTGCTTTAGAGCTTAAGATTTCAATGTACTTTAAAAACAACAACAACAAAAAAACACCTCTGAGCCTTGAGAAGACCACCATAGTCCTGCCTCTCCTCAGCTGGGGAAGAAACTTGGGGGAGAAGCCGTGCTCCTCGCAGACCCTGAGGGCGATGCTTTCTGAGTCTGCCAGTTGGGACCAATTCAACCAGAACAGGAGACTTCCCTCCACTTCCTTCTTGAGAGGCAAGTTAAATTCACTGAACTTATAAATTGTGATACCTTTTAATGTCCCATGGCAGTCTTATGTGTAGCAATTCAGTCCTTACTTTGGAAATCCCTACACAGCCAAAGTCATTTTGGAAAAAAGTTAAATCTGATAATAAACATTTAACTTCATTGTGTTTTCCTTTTGTGGATATCAGGTTGCTTCTCCACAAGAATTGGAGAAGGAGGCAAAACTATTTTATTCTTTAGACACTGGAAAATACTTTGCAACTGGGCACTGGCTGCTTAATGAAGATTAAGGCTTTTAAAAATAGGAAAGCTTTTTAAAGTGAAGGGCATTTAAGTATCTTTTTTGTGTGACCACCACAGCAACTATCAAAAATGAATTTAAAATACACAACAAGTTTACCTCTAATCTCACCATTACTTGTGATTTGAAAGTGGACAAACACTCCCCATTAAAAACCCTGAAAAAGCCAATGATAAACTTAATTCCTGAAATGATAAATCATTCAAAATAGGGAAGAATCCTAAAAATTTTATTAGAATTTAATATATCATAGCAAGATATAGGCACAAGCTCAATATATACCTAGTGAATTCCTTAAAAAGAATTTTTATTTTCCTCTCAAAAGAAGATTTGGAAGAAAACCAAGGTATTTCCTAAGTGTAGTAAATACTGGAGGCTTGGCTCAAGGGAAGTCTTTTTCCAATCTTTTGCTGCCATGATTAGAACAATAAATCGAGCAAGGAATATTAATGCTTGTCACTTATATGTCACTAAATTTGCTTTCTTTTAGGAGGAAGACTTGGTTAAGTTCTGCCACATCAAGACTCTTAGACAGCTAGCTGCCTCGGCATTATGCTTATTAATTACTGATGGACTCCGTGGAGTTAATCAGCCTTTAGGCACACGTTTTGGGGATCTAACAGATGGTATGAAAATATACTGCATTTTATTTTTGTAATCCTGACGTACAAACACACTGACAATAACAGTTCTTAGAGAAAGAGCCAGAAATAGGCTAGGCTTTTCTTTTACATTTCTGGCCTTTTGTTAATTGAAATTAGATCTGTGTGCTACTTGAGTGTAAACGCAGCCCCTTTCCCGTGCAGGCAGAAGCCAGGAAGTGAGGAGGTGGCAGTGGGGAGGGGGCCAGAGGAGGGCGGCCATGCTGCCCCGCTAGGCTACAGCTTCTAAGTGGGGGGGACTGAACCACCCTGTTGGGAGCACTCACCGGGGTGTTGGACTGCTCTGTCAGCTTTTGCTCCCACATCCTCAGACGTCTTTCCCGTTCTTTGAGCTCCTGCTCTTTACAGCTGAGGTCCCGTTCGAGTTTCTTCAGCCTCTCGAGAGTTGCCTCAATTTCGCACCTGCGTGAGGATGACGGGTTTAAGTCTCAGCTTTGCACCACGAGTTACTGAACGCTTAGTGGCTCATCAGAATGCTTAATATAAAACGTTAACATTTGCACTTTTATTTTTTACCAGTTTTGAGATGTAGTGGACCTCTGTCACTGCAGAAGTTTCAGGTGTAGAGCAGACTAGTTTGACTTACACATACTGTGAAATGATGACGCTATAGATTCCGTGAGCATCCATCATCTCATACAAAGAAAGCAAAAAAAGAAAAATATTCTTGTGACCAGACTCTCAAGATTGACTCTCTAAACAAATGTCACGTGTATACTATATTAGACTGCAGTCATCATGCTGTACGTTACATTCCTTGGACTTATGGATCTCGTGACTAGAAGTCACAAGACCACCTTCCTTTTATATGCCCCCCCCCCACCGCTGGTGACTGGAAATCTGATCCTTTTTCTCTGTGAGGTTGGGAAAACTCGAGCTTCGAAACCAAACTGTAAACTATCAGAGAAGAAGAGATTTGTGGCATCCTGCAAAAACAGGGGGTTTCTAGTTTAGGAAAAGAAGTTCAAGAGACTTCCTCACCGAAGCACCGAAGACCCACCGTAGAGCCTGAGCTGCGGGCCTGCACCTGGTTTAGCTACTCAGTGAACGCTGACATTCAAGTAGCCCTTTGCAGTTTGGAAAGCACTATCACACAGCATCTCATCTTATTCTTGTAACAACCCTGAGAAACAGGCACTAACTCCACAGAGATGGGGAAAATGATACTCAGGTTAGGCGACCCTCATCACTTCGCCAGTAAATGCACGTTTGCCAGTTCTCTGGCTGGGCACCTCAGTCAGCAGATTAACTGACCCAGTTAATCTGACCAGATTAACTGACCCAGGGGGTGATGACTATCTTACATCAGGGTTCCCCACTTGCCTGATCCTAATATCTACCTGGGCAGCTTGTTAAGAAATATACAACAAAAAACACAGATTCCAAGGACTACTTCTTTAGAGCTCAGGATTCAGTCAGGCTGGGTGGGGCCCAGGAATTTCCATTACTTAATGAAAGACTGAGGTAACTTTTATAATCAGGCAAGTGTGGGCCAGATGAACTCTAAGAGCCTTTTGAAGTCTAATCATTTTTTTTGGAAGTTCCCTCCTTAGTCTCTATAGGCTGACCACGCTCACCCCTTAGAGCATGTCCAGTTCTAGGAGCCCCTCCTTTGTAGGAAGTGAACTATTGACATCGCTGAGCACAAGCTGTCTTCTTCCTTCAGGGCTGTCACAGTGTGTAAGTCTCAGTTACGCTCTGAGAGCTGGAAGTTCCTTCCCTTGGCCTTCTGAAAGGCCTGGAAGCAGCTGATGGCTGGAGGTCAGCCGGTGCCATGGAGACAGACCAACTGCACCAGGGCATAAGGCTGGCTGGGACCCTGACTATGGAAGGTACCGCCCCAGACCAAAGTTAATGGGTACATGTAACCCAAATCTGCTTTTTTAGCTCCAGGGAAAATTAGAATATACGGCCATCTTATTCCAACACCCTTGTGGATGAGAACTAAATGGAAACCAAAAAGCTGTGGGCATTAACTGGCAAGATCCAACACAGGGAACAGCTACTGAGGGGGGTCTAGACCTGGGCCTGGCACTTTGCTTCCCTGGTTGTCTGAAAGGAATACCTCAGAGCCAGGGAGGTAGCAGTGAGTGTAAAAGCATCTGCTACTAACACTCCAGCCCTTTCCCTGGTGACATCTGAAAACAACAGAACGAAAGAAGTAGAGTCACACTGCATACCCTGAAGAAAGGCACTAAATCAGCAATCTTTCAAAACTGTGACTGTCCTAAAATCCACATTTTATATTTCTGAGTATTTCTGACAAGAGTATTATGTACATTCATAGATGTGTTTCTGCTTATTTTCCAAATGGAGGACTGAGAGGGAAGAATCACTGTGGAAAACCTTAGGTAAAACTTCTATAACAAAGGAAGGAAGGATGAACTCCCTGGCCGAGAAAAGGAGAGGGTCAGAGGGTGACAGAAGGAGGCAGCAGAGCCTGGTGCACTCCGTGGCAGAAGGCCAGGGTCTGCTGTCTGCAGTGCTCCGCCTGGCCACCCGCACCCCTGCCGGAGAGACGGAGCGTGCTCAGGCTCTGTTTGGTCAGGGTCCTCGGCCAGCACATTTGAGTTCACTCGGAATTTAAGCCAAGTTTCAGCTCTGGGAGCCGACTGTGATTTTGAGCCCTTCTGGAAAACAACTGTTAAGTAAGCTGAAAGCTGGGACAGGGAAAACCAAACACTCACTAAAATGTGCTTCCTCAACCCTCTCCTCAGGCTCAGCGCCTCCAGCACCACTCCCCTGGGCACCCTGCATCGGCAGGGAGTGTTGGATGCCAAGCAAACCTCAGGAGGGCAACATGACAGCTGCCCCCTCGTGGTTCCCTGGTTGCCCATGCATTGTTTTGCATCAAATGCATCTGTTGATGTACCTAGATCGCCTTCTATAAGTAAAAGCGTTTTAGTTGATGAAAATTATTTTTTCTTAACCCAGATCCAACTGAAGTTGACTTCCTCTAGTATCAATTTTCCATATGCCAAAAGCAGGGAATGAACTGCAATTACCTTTAGAGGTCAATTTGTAAACAGCCATATTAGATAGGACGACAAATAGCTAATATGTATAGTAGTGTTATATATAAAATGATTTGTGCTAATATCCAAATCGTAGATTACATTTTTGGATCTGTTTTTTGTTTTTAACAAGGCATGCCACAGTGAGAGTGTTCTGATCACCAAGGAGGAATACAACCAGCAAATACTCTGCCAAGAGCCCCAGCTCTGAACGCGCCGTCCCAGCACCACACAGCTCGCTCAGTACGGATTACCACAGGTTTGTCAACAGTCACATGAGGCCATGAAAATTGCAAACATGACCAACAGGGTGACACACTTCCTATTCGTAACACTCACTGCTGTTATTGCTAATAAGTCCGTAAAAGGAGCAAGAAGCTAAAAGATAAGATGAAGAGATGACTTTCCTAGATCTGTTAGGTCAAAGGAGAAAACATAGCTTAGGTGGCTTTTAATAACCTAGTTTAAAAAACAGCTTTAAGAAGAATAATTTAATTCTCCAGAACAGGGTGTCTCATTGGGTCTATGTGTGAGGAAACTGTACCAGAAAGCAAGCGTTTGCCAGAAACACCAGATTTCCTACACATGCTTTTGACTCCAGTCACATGGTTTCTGACACCAGACAAAAGTCAGGGGAAAGAGAACAGTCTGGATGTGTCATTCCTAGAAGTATCCAGTTGATCTGACAAAGCATTTAATTCTTTTCGGTATGTGGCACAGAGTGGGATAGATGGTTTGCCTTAATCATGATCTAAAACAGTCATGCTCTGTGGTATTTCTCTTCATTCAAAGGAATTGAGTCAAGTGAACTCTTCGTGCTAATGAGTGGAAAGCTTGGCCGTGGCCACAGGTCCGGGAACAGCGCTGCACAGACTGTGTGTCATGGTGGGCCTATGGGACCAGACCATGTGGGTACCAGCCCCGGCTCTGTCTTACATGGAGTGTTTTGAGACAGGTGACCCAACCTGTCCAGGCCTTAGATTGTGCATCTGTGATAAAAGTTCGGATTGCCATGTGGATTATACAAGATGATCCAGATAACAGTACAAGTGTCTGGTAAGAGTATAATGAATGACAGCTGTGTGTGTTGTTATTCTAATTAATATTAGTATTATTATCCCCTATGTTTTTAACCAATTGCCAAGTTCACTTAGAACAGCCCTGTGACTTCTCAGACTGGTTTAGTGGTTCAAGTAAAGAGAGGTGTTCCCTCACCAGCTCTCAGGATTAACTAGTTCCTAAGAGATGGCCAAGGAGGAAGCCAGCGAGGCAACTGTTGGCTTTTTTTCTAAAATACATTAATGTTATTTTCCTCAGCTTTTCATTGTGAAGCATTTAAAAAATGTATTATTCAACTTCTGGGTTTGTAGGACAGAAAGGTATCCAAAGAGAAACCACTCTCTCGTAATTTCATTATCCAGTGGTAACACTGGCCTTTTGATACTTTCCTCTATGTGCACATATCATATACACATAACATGTTCATTTTACAAAAAAATGGAATCATTTCAGTCATACTGGACCCTCGTCTCTATTTTTAAATCATCTGTCAGATCTGTATTATCACGAATGGCCCCACCTATTCTGTATATGGAGCTATCATCAGTTTTTAAAACCATAAAAACCACAAAAACCCAAAAATCTTTTATTGCACTTTATGGCGTTCTCATTTGCATTTCTAGATGGCGCCGTGCTAGTAAGAGGGTGTCCATACATTCTTGTACAACCTTTCCATTTATTTTCCTAGGAATAAAATGATAGTGGTGGAGGGGTCTGAAAGGTAGTATTTTCACCAGCAACATATTAGAAAGCGTATAATGCTGGATATTTTCATAATGTATATCTTTGCCAGTCTGATAAATGAATTATGTTCCCTTACAGTTACTTGATTAGTGAGGTTAACTGTTTTTCATATGTTTATTGGCCATTTGATTCCACCTTTTGTGAAATGCCTTTCATGTCCTTTAGAATGAGATTAAAATTAAAATGTTATTTTAAAGACAGCAACTCTGTCTACTATAGTGGTTTTCAAAGTGTGATCTGGGGACCCATGAGAGCTTTTCAAAGGATTCAAGAGGTTAAACTGGTTTTCAGAATAACATTAAGACATGATGTGCCTTTTCTACTCCCATTCTCTCACAAGTATACAGACTTCCAGAGGCGTGATAAGTGACAAAGCCGCTGGCTGAACGTAGAGGCAGGATTTATTGTTTCTTAAATGAATCAATAACTACATATTTATGCTTTTTTCTCCATTCTCATTTTGAGTGTGGTAAATGTTGACAGATATAATTTATTGAAACAAAAGCTCTTTGTAGCCCTCACTAATTTTTCAGAGTGTGATGGAGTCTGAGACCAAAAACTTTTAGACCTGCTGAGCTACTGTACAGAGGGAAATCGACTGTACGGCAGTTTATGATGGTATTGCTTTTGGCCATATGCAGCTTCTGCATTTTTATATAGAAAACTCCTCCCCATATGCTGATATACAGTATCTGAGACACTGTACCTCAAGGGTATCAATAGTAAGGTTAAAATCCCACTGGTCTTTTGGAGAACAGATCAAATAGCATCTCCTCAGGAAATCCTTTTATTACCTTGTCTGACTAGATGAGATTTCATGGTTGTATAGTCTCAGATATCCAGTACTTCTCTGTCATCACACTTATCAAAATAGTCATAAAATGTCACTTGTATATTTATATTTCATAGTTTACATTAGACACTCAGATCCGTGCTGGGCTGTTCTGCTCATCACCACAGCACAGCCCAAGAGCCTGGTGCTCCAGCAGAGGTTCCGGGACCACCTGAGTGAATGAACGTCAGAAGCACACTTGGCATAGTCAACAGATTAGCTTATATATTTATATTCCCTTGTGTGATACCGTAATGTCTTTTAGTATTATTATCACTGTGCTTTTTCCTGCCCTGAGTATTTATTGAGCCACTGCTGTGTTCAAGGCACATTCTAGATGCTGCGGGTATAGTAATGAGCATAAGAAAAAGAAATTATCTGACCTTTTTACATTTCAGCCAGCAAGACACAGATTAAACAACCAACTACGGTTGCTTATTCACTCCAACAGCAGTTGCGGCTCTGAAGGAGATGGTCCCAGGGCACATAAAGTGGAACCTCATCCATCTCGGGGCAGAAACACTTCCTTAAAGACATGTTATTTCAGTGGCTATCTGATGAATAGGAGCCCGGTTGGATGTGGGTGTCAGGGATGGTATGCCGCTGAAAGGGATGACTTTTATATAGAAGAAAATGCATTTGCAAGGACTCTGATTGAGGAAGAAATACATATCTGTTGAGGGACCAGAAGCCAGAGATTAAGAGGCAGAACTATATGCTCTTAAGGTAAGACTGCTGAGGTCAGGGTACAGAGGGTCTCCTGAGTCTCGTGAAGGGTTGGCCTTTGTATAGAGTAATCCCTGACACGGATTTAAAAGAGGAGTCATCTGTTAGACTTGCACTGGCCTCTTCCTGCAGGAAACAACATTATTACATGCTTTGTTAATTATTTAAGTCCAGAACAAAACCCATCATACCTACACTCAAAGCAGACAGTATGACTTTTGTTTCCCTAAAAAAAAAAAAAAATTCGGGCTGCCTGGGTGGCTCAGTGGGTTAAGCCTCTGCCTTCAGCTCAGGTCATGATCTCAGGGTCCTGGGATTGAGTCCCGCATCGGGCTCTCTGCTGGGCAGGGAGCCTGCTTCCTCCTCCCTCTCTCTCTCTGCCTCTCTGCCTACTTGTGATCTCTCTCTGTCAAATAAATAAAATCTTTAAAAAAAAAATTCATTTAACTCACTGGCCCTGGATAGAGATTTCAAAAGTATAAAAATAAATCAGAGTATTGTAAAACGCAAACAGAAAGCCCAACGAAATGTCTAGTAACAGGAGTAAACAACACCATCATCTCCAGAGTGCATGCAGTATTCACCGGGCAACAGCAGGTGGCGTAAGGCGTCGCGTTACCGCTGTGGCTCTCCGGAGCAGAAATAAGTTACTTAAATCTCTGCTGAGTCAGGGAGGAATAATGTCAGCTTCCAAACATGCTATTTATATTCCTGCAGCACGTGACCTGGCTCAACGGTTGCATCCCAGGCTTGCTTCTTCCACTCACACAATACAATTCTCTCATTACTGAGTTTGTTTTACACTTGACAAAATTTAATAGGATTTATAGCATCAAAAGTTTTCTTTTAAAAGTGTTTTTATAGTCTCCCTACCCCCTCCATCAACTGATACAGCCCTCTGCAAATCCCTGGGCAAACAGTATTTTTATTTCCACTGGAGAGACGCCAAGGCTCCCTAACACAGAGCGTGTGGTACAGAGAAATGTCCGATGACTGTCTTTCGTCTCAGAAGATGTGATTTCAATATTCTTTCCAAATACTGAGACGTATGATAAGGCAACAAGCTTTGAAGATTGCTGTTTTGTTCACCTATGAAAGGGAGCCTTATTACATGTCCAAAAAAATTGAGCATAAAAAGCAAACAAAACTCCATGCTTAGAAGTCAGTACTGTCCTCAAGTTCACTGGTTTTCTTCTGCAGTGAAGCTGGTCACAGTCCTTCAAAGCCGGAGACCATGACTCAGTACAGGGCTTACTCACCTCCACTCTGCCTTGTTGTGCAGGAATGAGTTACACTGGTCGGGAAGGTTCGTGTCATTTGACATGGACTCCAGAATCGAAATGATTTGCTTAAAAGATGGCCGTTTCTGAGGAAGAGAAAAGAATCACTCGTTGGGACTTAAAGTAAGTCTTGAAGAGAAAATCCGCCAACACAATAAGCTGGACGCACCACAACAAATAAAACGGCATGCGGTGTCCTGAGTCAGAGTACAGCTGTCAGACCACTCAGGTTGAAGGGGACCATATTCCTTATTTTCAATAAATTATTTCTAAGAACAGAGGCAGAAGTCATTTTTCTATTGTGTGGCCTAACGGTGGAATAATTACAGTTTTTCTCCAGGTAAGGAAAGTATGAGTTCTCTCTTGGGTATGATGAAGGCCTCCTAAAAGGAAAAGGCAAGTCCTTTAAAAACCCAGGGGATACAGCAAGTTTAGTAGACGTTAACGGCAGAGTCTGAGTGGGAGGTATACCGGTGTTCATTATAAAATTCTTTCAACTTTTCTGTAGGTTTCAAATTCTTAGAATGAAATGATGGGGAAAACCCTAGTTAATGTTATGAGAACTAACAAAATTGCCTCAACCACTTGCTTAGAGAAAAATTCCCCAGTTTTCAAGCCATTTTTAACTTCACTATTCTCAGTGTTTAATCCATGTCGTGACTCGTTCTGGACTTGAGCTGGGAAACTCTAAGGCACGGTTTACTAGAAACAGAGAAAGCAGTGGTTAGGTGCATTTCTTTAGCTAGCAGTAACTCTACTCATCTGTTTCTTTAGACTCCAGCTAAGGTTGAGACAGAAGATTAAAACAAAAATGGAAGAAAGATAATAAAAGGATGATGCACAGTCTCTCTTCATCACGCCTCATAATTACACCATTTCTGAGAAAATTACAGTTGCAGCAATTAAAACATGCATTTTAATTTAGGAGCACAAAACAAGAAGGAAGTGTTGAGGTAGCTTGCTCTCAGGACTTGAGTGCTTCCTACATTAAAAGAGACGATTTTTCCATTTTTTAGGAATATAAAACTGGGATACTTATTCTGAGTTCTGCCTGCATTGCACTTTTTTAAGGGAATGTGTGCCTCTGTGTGTGTGTGTGTGTGTGTGTGTGTGTGTGTGTATAAGTAGAGGGCATAAGTAGCTAAATGTCACCAATCCACATAAAAGCATTCTAATAAGAAAAGAAGTAAATGCCTGAAGTAGGACATTTGAAAACTATTTTGTCCTCTTTTAGCTTTATCCCCATTTTAATTCCTCCTACTATGTGTCAGTGTATGAAAGGAAAAGTGAGCTGTTTGCTCAGGAATTAATTATAAATACAGGATTTTCATTTTACACAGAAAAGCAGCAGGAGGGGTTAATGAATTTTTTAAAGACTATTTCCCCCCACATTTAATCATTCTTGGAATAAAGTAAAAACTCTTTTGAAATCAGGTGACAAGTGTCCCTAGAAAAACCTTTATTTTATAGGTAGAATATACTCTCAGATGGAAATTATCAAAGTGAACATTTTAAAAACAACAATGTAGAAATTTGTGGTAATGGTATTTTATGAATACTCTGGTTGCAGAATACAATACCTGGTCCAGGCTTAGGTTCCTTTTAGTGTTATGTAGATTTTGCTCGCATTAAAAAAAATTATAACTAGGACCATCTATTAAGGATCTATATACACTACTTTTTATCTTCATTATGTAGATAAGGAAAATCCATCTTAGAAAAGTATGGACTGCCCAGCATCACACCGGAAGCAAGTTTCTGAATCAGGAGCAATGCTCTTAAACCCTTCAATGCTTTATTACATGAGGGTAAGATGTTACTTCCTATCAAACTCAGGGCTTTTTTTTTTTTTTTTTTCCTATTTAGAAATGCCATTTTAGAACTGGAAACGATACGCACCTTTAGTTCCTCCTTCTCTTTGATAAAACACTTTGAGCACCTGGTATAAGCCATTGGCATGACCTGACATTCACCCAATACTAGCTTTCTCTTGTATTCCCTTCACCGTCCTCATTGCAAAAGAACATTTTTCTACAGGTGAGCTGAATATTTTCATCTATGTCTTTAAAGCACAAGGGCTAGGGGGAAAAAAGGAAATAAAAGTTTGTAGCCAGTGATAGCTCTCTCTGTATGCACAGGAGTGGCAAGCACTAGTGACTGAACTGCTACATACTTAAAGCCAGAGAACTAGAAGGTGCCTTGGTCTGGCTGCTTTAGTCAACACAGGGGCCTCCACTTACTGAGTGCGTGTGATGTGCTGAAGGCAGCCCTGTTCCCTCGAGGAGACTGCAGTCCGTGTAGGAAGAAGACACATTTTTTTTTTTAAAGATTTTATTTATTTATTTGACAGAGATCACAAGTAGGCAGAGAGGCAGGCAGAGAGAGAGGGGGAAGCAGGCTCCCTGCTGAGCAGAGAGCCCGATGTGGGGCTCGATCCCAGGACCCTGAGATCATGACCTGAGCTGAAGGCAGAGGCTTTAACCCACTGAGCCACCCAGGCGCCCCTTGAAGACACATTTAAAAAATACAACAACACAGGGTAAGGCAGTAGCCCGGACTTGGTTTAGGAAAAGGTGGACGAAGTATGGGCGGGGGTAAACAGAACAGCCAGGGAAGGCTGGCCAAGAAAATCCTCAGGGGAGGAAAGAAAAGAAGAGGGCATGCGCAGGGAAGGGAGGTGTGTAAGGCAGTCTGGAGATCAGCCACGAGAGCGCTGCAAGTGGAGACTGTAGTTTGGGGCATACTTACTGGGGGGATGTATTAATTGTATCAGAATAAAATGCCCTGAATTTAGGAAGTAAAAATCAGTCTTAAACTTTCTTTATATTTCACATAGTTAGAACACGAGACTCCACTGGACCCAAAGAAGAGTGAGCTTGCTACATGTTAAAGACATGCCAGCTTCATGGCATTAACACCAGGTCTAAGGTCCTTCCTGTGTTACGTGTTTACACTATTAATTAATGTACCTTAAGTGTATATTCTCAGAATTTTAATCAATGAAGTACAGAGTTTCCGATTAAGAAATTCAAAACCTGCTTTGCATACTGAAATATAACTGCAATTACAGAGAATCTAGTTGCATTAATCTAACTCAATGCAAATAATTCTAGGTGAAATTTTTATTTAAGTAGCAGAGAAATACTGCAAAAAGGACTCCATATGCCGCAACGGACAGAGAACTTGTAGAAAGAGTATAGAGAAGGTAGTATGGCAGCATTTAAAAAATACAAATGTTCTAGAGCAAGCCTGCAAACAGCTGAGTATATTTTCCGCTGGATTAGCTGCAAAGTGCAGGCATTTCTCTTACTGCTTAAAACCCCCATATTCTGCAAACCACACACTAAAATAGGACCTAAACACAGGTAGGGCAGACCATACCATACCTATGCAACTTTGTCATGGAATGCTAATAAAAACAGTAATACTAAATAAAAACACTAACAGAATTTAAAAATGTTAAAATTCTTGAATAAAAAAACCAGTACTAATAAGAGACTCTCCTTTTTAAAAAAAAAAAAAAGGGTGAAGGTAGTTTGATGAAGAGGAGTGAAAGCAAAGATGAAGGCTGCTGTTCTTGAGGCAGAGGTGCAGTGTGCAAATCTGGGAAGCACCCCCCACCCAAACTCCTCGGAGACAAAGCACAGGCCAGACCAGCCAACAGAGAGCGCACGGGGCTGAGAGGCCCCACAGATCTGCGTACCCGGCTGCTCTGTGGGCTGCACTACTGTACAAGCTCCTGTACTTGGTGTTGAGCTGTTCTCACGAGGTGGTGCGGACCCAGGTGCGAGGTAACGGGTGGGATGTGGCAGGTGAGAACTCAAACTCACTGGGTGTGCATCCTTCCCACTAGAGAATGATGCTATGTGTTACTGGCACGCGTCCTTCCTGGTGGCCAGATTGGAACTGGGTTTAAATTAAGGAAGAAATTCCACTCCTGAGTCTTTGTTTTTAGATCTCTATTTTAAGAAGTCAGTTTGCAATATATCTACTTCCATGAAAAAGTGGACAAATTTGAACTATAAAATTACAGTTCATTTCTTGGGCCTGTCTCTTCTTCCAGTGTTTAATTTGTAAGGATCTTACTTTCTAACTTTTTATTATGAAAAATTTCAAACACACACAAATGTGGAGAGAACAATGTAACGAGCCTCCATATACCTATCATGTGGCTTCAAAATTTATCCTGCCCAATCTTGTTTAATCTATACCGCCACCTATTTCCTTTCAGTTTATTTTGAAGCAAATCCAAGACTCGCCTATTATTTTATCCTTAAATATTTCCGTATGTGTGTGAGAGTCTTTTAAAATGATCTTTGCAGGGAAAGGAAGTGGGCCTTCATGCTCAAATGTGATAACCACATGAAAGTCTAAATTTTGGAGTGTCTCCAACTCTATTGTGATAGCTTCAAAACATCATGAATCTGGGCAAGGAGTATGTATCAGGTTTCTCTAGAAGGGCTACTGTGGCCGGGTCTTCAGTTCAGACCGCTTGGGTTCACTCTCCAGTCTCACCATGTACTAGCTGAGGCCTTGAGCATGACTTAACTTCTGTGTGCCTTGATCCTTCATCTGTAAAATGGGTGGAAAAACACAACTTATGTCACAGAGCTATTGTGAGGAATCAATGAGCGAATGTACATGAAGTACTTGGAACGGTGCCTGGCCCAGAATAAGCACTGTGTGCTGGCCATTTTTAGAACACGAAGGTGCAACAGTGCTTATTAAAGATTAAAAACAAAAGAATGCAATTCTCTCGACTGAATTAAGAGTGCCAGGCGGCTGTAAGAAAGAGCCAGTCATGAAGTTCTAAGGATAAGGGAGGCAGCCAGCAGCTTTGCTTTGTAATGACTCTTATTACCTCAAGTGTTAAAAACCTCAAAGCCAGGGGCGCCTGGGTGGCTCAGGGGGTTAAGCCGCTGCCTTCGGCTCGGGTCATGATCTCAGGGTCCTGGGATCGAGTCCCGCATCGGGCTCTCTGCTCAGCGAGGAGCCTGCTTCCCTCTCTCTCTCTCTCTGCCTGCCTCTCCGTCTACTTGTGATCTCTCTCTGTCAAATAAATAAATAAAATCTTTAAAAAAAAAAAAAAAAAAACCTCAAAGCCAAATAAGTGGAATTTCAGAATCCTGAACAAGGACCAAAAAACAAACAAAAAATTTATATATACCTTGGCATCAGCTTCCCAACACTGACGTAACAGCTCAGCAAAACTCCTGGGGCAGCTGCTTGGAATGGTTAATCTCTACCACAGAGAGAGGAAAAGACAAAGCAAGGATTTACTCATGGAGGTAAGCAAATACCCACTGAAAGTTCTTAAAAGAGTTACATTAAGAGCACAAACAAGTCATTAAATGTTAAGCTTCCACAGACTGATAGATGGCTGGTGAGAATTTATGTTTAGATTCATCGTATCTCATCACTAAAGACACTTTTAATCCTGTTCTTCTAAAAAGACCAGTTAGGCCATGGGTGCCGCACCTCTGAAAATGTCTTCAGCACAGACCCGCACAGAGATCATTTGAGAGAAGTGGGCCTCTTCTGATTGGCCAATAAGAGATTCTGGACATAGGACTCATTAGTGCAAGGGCTGGATACAACAAAGATTACACTGTGAGCATTGGTCCTGTTCCAACATGTTACCGAAGTACTTCTCTAGGACTCGCCATGCCCCTGGAGGCTCTTTAGGGATCTACGGAGGCATTTTTGTTTATTTTTAAAACTGGAGACTTGCCCCTGGAGCGGGTCAAGAATGCTGGACATCTTTCACTACGTTGTAAATCCCTGACCAAGTACTCCCTTGCACTCCACCAAACTTCAGATGCCCCACATGCAATCAAACGAGGTTTAATCATTTTCTGGCTCTAGACTCGCTCTTTGATTTACAAGAAACACAAAAGTATATTTTGAGCAGATTTCAAATGCAATGAACTAAGAATGCAACTACCAAATAAAATAAATCAAGAGCAGATTGATGTCTGCATTATTCATATCCTTCCCAAGATTTTTGGAAACTGTCACCTACAACAGCATTGCTCATGCTGCTGGAATCATGGAGACCACTCGACTCCAGTCTGCATTTGTAGCTGTTGAATCCTATCTATCCATAGGTATGAGCTCTAAAATGTTCCATTTTCTCCTCTACTGTGGTCATGCCTGCGCATTTATACACAGTAATACGTATTTATTTCTTTGGTATATTACAATGAGGACATTATGTTGACTTCAAAATACAATGTGTGTGGGTAGGTTGTACTACATCCGAATTTCATTTCTGGAAAGTAGAGGGAGCATGAACAGAGTTGTTCTCCAGAGAGGCCTGGGTGTGACAGTTGAGAACCACAACACTAAGAAGTACCAAGATGAGTCACTCTGCAGTTTTCTTGTTTACCAAAGAAGTTTTGCAAATAAAAAACTGATACTGAACTTAGTTGGATTTGGGGGAGGGCTACGTACAAAACTAGAAAAAGAGTTGCCCTGGCAAGAAAACAGGTGATCTGCATTTAGAATTACAGATAACCTTAAAATCAAAATAAATCAAAATAAATACAACCCAAAAGTTTATAAACAAATGGCCCTCGCTAAGTTAAAGGCTATGCTAAACATTTTTTTTTAACTGATTACATAGAATAGAGAAGACTTGGTCAGCTGTACTCTTATTTTACTGTAATGTGAACTGGAAACCTTTTGATGAAGACCTAAAGGAAAATCAGGCGTTTACTTTTTAAAAATATTTATATAGGATGGTTGGTTAGGAGTGGCAACTAAGAGAAACAAAGTGACTGCAATTATTCAGCTGAATGCACCCCATGGCAAAGTAATTTCTCATTTTCAATATAACTTTTTCACATTTTTCTAAGAACTGAAATGGGACCTGGATGAATATGGATGGATGTTAATCTTTTCTGTCATCTTTTCTTACTGAGAAACTTTTTAGCTACCGCATCTGAGACATTATGAAAGAAGACATAATTATTTTAAATTATCTCATATGGTCAAATATCAGTTAAATCTAGACTCAGACACTAATGTAGGGTTTGTTTGGTGCACTAAAAAAGTACTTTAAGAGAAAATCCAAAGTATTTGAATCCTGATTACAGAACGATGGGCATTCCTAATGCATTAAAACATCCCGAAATAACCAGATACCAGCAACAGATTAGCCACACTACTTAAAACTTAAATATTTTACAAGTTCCAAATTTAAAATGAAAATACTTTCCAACCACTAAATTAGGCATGACATTTTTGAAAGAGTATATTTCTTTTTCTGCATTGTTTTCTACATAAGATGAAAAAAATTACTTTTTGTCCATTATTTTTTATTATCTTTTTTCCAAAGAGTAGTCATCAATGGATTAAGTTTTTTGAGGATTTCTGTCAACAGTGTGGGGTGCCTATTAAGAATAGTTTGGTTAAGTGACCGAAAATTCTCAGGTCATGATCTCAGGGCTAAGAGATCGAGCCCAGTGTCAGTCTCTCTAGAAGAAAAAAAATGGTTTTGTTACTTAGAACAAAACATATTTTATGAGAATCTAAGAACTTGTAAAGATAGAAATTATGCTATCAGAATATTTTGAATGACCACTGAGTTTTAGAGAAATTACGAAGACAAATACACATGTCTATAAGAATTACAAAATTTACTAGTAATATCCTCCTAATTTCATGACTTCTGTAAAGGTTCAGTCTTTGCTTTAACAGTGCTTTATGTATTTAGTTTTAATAGGATTTAATATTAGGAAAAATTATTGTTTAAAGGCCTTATTTCATTATTAAGCAGTCAGAAGCAAAAACCTTCAAATATTTTGAGAAAGTACTGATCTTCCTATAGATCCAAAAAGCAATCTAAATGGTGAAACTGAATAAGGTCCAGAGTCTAGTTAAGATTAGTAATGTATCAGTGACAACTTTCTGGTTTTGGTATTGGCCAATACCTGTATCTCACCAGTGGGGGAAGCTGGATGAAGGATACACAGAATTCCTTTTACTATTTTTGCAACTTCTGTGAGTCTATAATTATTTCAAAATAAAAAGTTAAAAAGAAAAGGTAACTCTAATATTTGGATATAGGTGTATTCCAGGGTGGCGGGCTTACATTTAAAATGTCTCCCTAGGTTTAAACACATCATTCTTTATTTAAAGGAGGTCTGTAAAAAAAAAAAAAAAAAATTTATACATACATATATATATATATATATATATATATATATATATATATATATATATGGCTTGCTCTTTTCAACTCAAGAACCCAAGGTATTCCAAAGTAAAAATAAATGAAATAATTAGAAGTTGAAAGGATTTGTAAATTATTTTTAAATCAAAGTCTCAATTTTATTATGAAATGAAATAAATCCTTGGCCTTTTTTTTTCCCCCAAGTTTTTATTTAAATTCCACTTAGTTAACATATAGCGTAATATTAGTTTTGGGTGCAGAATTGAGTGATTCATCACTTACGTAAAACCCCCAGTGCCCTCCTTAGTCCCCATCACCTCTTTAGCCCACCCACCCCCCAACTTCCCCTCTAGCAACCCCTTCAGTTTGTTCTGTGTAGTTGAGACTTGGCAATCCTTATAATGTTACGTCAACAGAATCTGTTTTGGTAACACGTGTCTACACTTATGAGATGAAATGAAGACTCCTTTGTGAATGGTGACAATGGAAAGTACAATTAGACTTAATTTCCATATTTTTGACAAATACTGAACAGAGTGAGAGTAGACAGGTAAGTAGCCTTGTAATACCCAGTTTTCCTTAAGTTCAGTCGAAAGTTGGGAAAACTTGCTTCGCCACCTGGGGTTTCTTGAACTTGCTATTCTGTGTCCAGAAGGGGAGGTACCTGAGTACCTCCGGGGGTTTTCAGCCGACTATCAGGTCACACACGGATGAGACAGCAACACTGGACTCTCGGGAATCCCTGAGGGAAAGGACGGCTGACAGCCTCCTCCTGTACAAGCTGACGAATTTCTCGAGGTTACAGATGGGTGATTCCTGGCCCACGAGCCAGCTACCCAAAGGCAGCGTCTAAATTCATTTTTCTTGTCTGCTTTAAACATCCTCGATAGATACTCATGTTCTGAAAGTGCTTTAGACGCACACCTTCTCTGCCACCCTTTAGAGGAAATATTATTTTAAAATACTGTTTTTTTCTTATACATCTTTGGAGGATCCAGTCAGCTTTTAAAAAACTTTCTTCTAATTTTCTTGGAACAACACAGAGGGAAAAAAGTTACATTGAGTGTTCCACTCCAAAGTCAACATTAGGTCAATGGCTTTCTTCACCCTCATGTGTAAACCCAGAACCAAACATCTAATCACCTCACTGGCGAAAGAAAATGGAACAGAAGCAAGCCGGTTCTCATGTCATGAAAATATCAGTTATCCTGCGTACGAAGGTCTGATTTAATAGCACACCAGGAATAAGCAGGACATTTAATTAAAACAGAACAGCTCCTGTGAAACACTGAGCGAGACACATTCTTAAATATAATGCCTTTTGCTTTTTCTTAAATTGGCAGCTCTCTCCCATCAAGTTCAGCCATCGTGAACATTTCATCTGTTCTCAATAGCTCGGGAGGACAAATTAATAAGGGTTAGGGTTATGTGATCTAAACTATGGAAACTTGGTTTCTCTTAGTCAATCGCAGCTGTTTGGTTAACGTAGTCTGTCCCTGCGCTCACATGGGGAGCAGATCAATCTAATTCTTTCATAGCGTTAAAAAGGGCATATCTCCACGTAGTCACCTTTTTGCAAATTATTTGATCCTCGGGTTGCACGCTTACCTTCTGCGGAGGGCACTGATCAGCTCTGGCAACGAAGCTCTGTGAAATCAGGTTGTTTTGCATTGCAAAGACAACTGCGGGCTTCCAGTACGGGATCTAAGTTCTCCTAGTACCTTTACTGGATGCCTTGTCCTTATGCTGAGGATTTCCATGCCTGTGCATTTCAGTCACAATTTTAAACCTTTCAAAATGTAGTTGCTCTCTTTGATATGAATGTACCACGTTCTCTGATGTAGGCTCATAGGTCCAACTAACTGAAAGCCTCAATTTGTGGGAAGAAGAAAAGCGAGGCTGGGGACACAGCACAAACGGTGTTTACGCCACTGAAGTTCTTTTGAAATGGAAAGGCTCTGCATGAAGAAGGGAACAGTTATGCCACTGCCTCGCCAATTCCAGTGAGGAGCTCATCTTCAATGTAGTGTTCAACGTAGGTGGCAAAACTGTAATTTTTCCCTTTTTTGAAACTATTTTTTCTTCTTTTATTTTTGAAATTCTCATCTAAGCGACAGTTTCTTGTACTATAGTGACTCCTGCTGGGAGAGGTAAGTTGAAGTAGCTGAAGGTCTCTTACAGATAGATCAACTCCCGGCCAGTAAAAAAGATGTCCTAAACGCAGGAGATGGAGTTAAACTGTTCCCCTACCTTGGACGCAATGGCTTCTTTCATCACTAAGAACAAACCCCTAGGTTTTACAATTGAGACTGAGAAACTAGTACAGTACTTGTACAATTTTTGATCTACAGCATCACGACGTGAAGCTGCAACAATTAGATGTAAAGGGTCCATTCATGAGGAATAACATCACTTTGACCCTTTGTGTTAGCTCCTACTGCTAATCTTTCCATAAGCGTGAACTTACTTTCAATTTGAAGAAGATGAAAAAGTCTTTTGCAAAACCCCAATACTGTTTTCTGATCTATGTACCTGAATGGAGAATCGTAGTCTTACCTCGTTTTTTTCCACTACAAGCCAAGCTACTTGTAATCCTTCCAAACCTTTAAAGGGGACCTCCCTTGTTAGCATCTCCCAGAGAACCTGGAACAAAAAGAAAATGGAATTTTTATTCTTGTACTTTATATTTTTGGTGTATTACTGAAACTTATCTAACACTTTACTATATCCAATTACCAGACAAAACCAACCCCACCTGTAGAAGCCTGGACAAAACATATATATTCATGCAGAGGACTTCTTCTAAATATTATGTACATACACACACATATTTTATATACACATACACACACGAGCACACACACATACATTCATTTTTTGTTCATTTTTATAAAGGAAAAAAACTAGTTTAGAAATCAGAACATTCAGAGCCAGACTTATGAAACCAATGGGCCTACATAATTTATCCTGTAAGTTACTAGAATTCTCACAGATTCCCACAAATTAGGTTTTATGTTTTGTTAGTCCAACACTTTTTACCTTCAATCACCAATAAACTTCTCTATAAGATAATAACTGGGAATTCAACTGTATTTTTAAAGGTTCAGTAATGGTCTGATAAAAAATACTCAGCCCTAAATCCAAACCACTGGCTAAACCATTCCCCCCGTAATGGTAGATACTTGCAGAACTGTAACACGTAAATTGTGTGTTTTGGAGGAAGAGCTCTCAAAATGAGTTGGTCTAAGGGAGTCATTTTCTTCCACCTCTAACATAATTATATGTTTTAAAATGTAATAAACATTTTATTTATATGTTATGTTCATATATATGTTATGTTCATATATATAGGCTAGGGGTCTGTGTGTGTGTGTGTGAAATTTATGTGTGTGTTCATATCTCTGCAATCCTTAAGATGAGCATGATTAATAAATTTGCACTGGAATGCCCGAAGAAACCAAACTGATGCTAGGAACACTGAAAATACCCAACGATTTGGGTTTCATTTAAAATACTAAGTAATGGAGATTTTTACATTTGGGTAACTTTCTCAATTTATACAAAAGGGCACCAAAATCTAAGTCTACCAATATATTTTTGAAGTGATAAAACAATTATAATTTTATCAGTAATCCTAAAAACAACGACTGTCATTTACTGAGTGATTACGTTTCAGATACTTTGCTAAACTCTTTACGGGTGTTACCATGATTACGACCAATCCCAGCGAATACATACGATCCTCATTTTATAGATGAGGAAATTAAGGCTTCAGAAAGTTAGACAAACTTGCCCACAGACACTCCGTTATCAAGTGGCAGAGCTAGAATGTGAACTTGCTGCCTCACCCCAACGGTCGAGCTCTTAACGTGAGGTAACTCTAGAGAAGCGAGGCTGCAGTACGAGAGAGAAGCCATATTTCAGGGGTGGAGCCACGGCAGAGGCGAGAAACGGAGGAGTTCAGCAGTTTTGAGTTAGACTGCTCTTGTTGTAAAAACAAAACTAAAAAGCCCACTTCTAAATAAGAAAGTAGATTGAGAACACGTACTCCATTCAAGAAGGTCCCATGGACCTTTCACTCTATAGAGCCACTGTTTCCTCAGCCAGTGTTCAGTCATATTTGAATCAGGACATGCTAAGTGAACTCTGGCTAATACGAAGATAATTAGCAGGAAAATCAGGGAAATTGGCAGATGCTGTTCAAGCAGGAGAAAAAAAATTCACTGAAGCCTCTTTGGGCTTTTAATCAAGTGTGTAAGGTACTTCTCTAGAAGAGCTACTGAATAATTCTATTTGAGTCCCAGAAGTGATTAAGAAAAAGTAAGGGGCATCCCAGAAGGGGACGATTCTAGCAAGCACTGTAAGTAAAGGACCAGAACAGGTATGCAGTCTGCACAGAGGAGGGGGACGCAGCATCGAGGGGGCTGAGCAGGAAATGAAGCCCCTTCATTCCCTGCAATTACCACTCCCCGGGTGCTAAGATTGGGGTGGGAGAGGGGAAGGCAAAGCAGGCAAATGGATGATTTTGGCCCTCCTAAGGAGAAAGGGAACAGTGAATCAGTCTCAAATAAATCAAATACTCCAGACCCCAAAATGTCCAAGTAGGTGGCCCCCTGCTCCCTGTTTTCTGATCCCAGCCTACAGGCACAACCCACTGCATGGGAGCACACATAAAGGCTGACTGGGTTGAGGTATGCAAAACCAAGAGCTCAGGAAGTGATACACAAAAAGACTTATGTCATTCTTCACTCCCAAATGTTCAGGTGGAAAATATCCGAAATCTACTGAGGTCTGAGTTCTGTTTCTCCACAAGTTCTAACCCCAGGAAAATAAGAGTTTCACTTCAATCTGTGCATGTGCGCATGTGTGTGTGTGTGTGGGCAGAGCTCCGACGGCTGAGGGGCTATGTGACAGCCGCTCACAGGAGGGTATGGACGTGGCTGTGAAGGCTTCAGTGTGAGTCCAGCCCCAGCCCCGGCCGAGGTCCCGTTACTGATCCCCCAGGTGTAGGAATGTACCAAAAAGCAGGTGGTTTGAAATGGGACAACAGCTGTTTCCGCACTAAACACAATGCCACTCGGCACAAAACACTCCTTTGTGGAAGAAGTCATGCAGAGGTCTAAAAATATATTAAACTAGGCCTGAAAATATCAGTGATGGGGATGCAGGCCAAACATGATTGTGATCTTTCCCCTTAAAAATACTTTCCAACTCAGTCTATCTTGAGACCTATTTACGTTTAAACTGTGCTCACAAGGAAACATTTCTATTTTCAGTTTGCAGAGAAACTTGGACAAGGCTGTGTACTTTTCCTGACCTTTCCTGCCAGACAATGGCAGGCCATTACCTGAGCCCGGCTTGTTCCGGAATGGGGCTCACAGACAAGCGACACAGCGACGCTCACCCTGAAGCTACGCTATCGTGGTTCTAGGCTAAGAAGCTTCTGGGAAAGGAATCCTTTCTGCACTGTCATTAGGACAGCTTTGTTTTTAAAGAGTAGCAAAGCCTTGTGTTCGCGGAAGGCTTATTCTTTCAATGATGTTTGCTTTCTTTAAGTCTTTTCATTTCTGTGGACAACATAATAAACCCTCCTCTCGCTCCATCCTTCAACAGAGAGCGTCCCGAGGGGGTAGCACAATCTCCTCTCTTGTAAGATGGAGAGAGAAACAGCTCCATGGCTCGCGAGGTTTATCGGCTTTGAAGCAGGGATCACCAGATCCACTTCTGGCATTTGCAGCACATTTCTTCTGACATTGGCCAGGGCTGGTTAGTCTGGCCGTGTGTTAAGAAGCAACCCAGGTTTATCAAGCCGCAGGGGCGAGGGACTTTGATAATACTAGGGGCTAAGTTCTTATCACAAGTCTGAAAAAACAAAAAAATGAAAAGCAAAAATATTTTAGGTGTTTTGGGTTTTTTTTAGGTTGGTTTTATAAAAGGACAACTCTTTTTAGGGTCTTGTTCATCTGTCCGAGACTGTGTGCGTGCGTGCGTTTGTGCGTGCGTGCGTGTGTGTAGGCACAATGAACAGAATAGACACTTCATGAACTATGGGATACTTTACGCCAAGAGATCCTTTACTGACAAATGGTCCTGGTCACTTACCTACTTTTGAAAGGACATCAAAAATTCTAAATTTCTAGTTATTTATTTAGAACATATTTAGAACATTGCTTTCTTAGATAGGCAACATTTTCAGTCTATGGATTACAAAGTTCTAAAACTAACATGCCCTACCTTACTAACCGATCCCTCCTGCTTTTTTAGTTAATACCTACTTTGACCGTGCAATGCTTTCTTCATTTTTTAAAAATCTGTGATTGTGGGGGCACCTGGGTGGCTCAGTGGGTTAAGCCACTGCCTTCGGCTCAGGTCATGATCTCAGGGTCCTGGGATCGAGCCCCACATCAGGCTCTCTGCTCTGCAGGGAGCCTGCTTTCCCCTCTCTCTCTGCCTGCCTCTCTGCCTACTTGTGATCTCTCTGTCACATTAAAAAAAAAAAAAAAATCTGTGATTGTGGGGTGCCTGGGTGGCTCAGTGGGTTAAAGCCTCTGCCTTCAGCTCAGGTCATGATCCCAGGGTCCTGGGATTGAGCCCCACATCGGGCTCTCTGCTCAGCAAGGAGCCTGCCTCCTCCTCTCTCTGCCTGCCTCTCTGCCTACTTGTGATCTGTCAAATAAATAAATAAAATCTTTAAAAAAAAAGTTTTTTTTAAATCTGTGATTGTTTCAACAAAAAGCTCTGGAAAGCATGCCTCATACTATTTCTTTCACCAAATGGTGTTTATCTAGAACATAACGGGAAGGGGTCAGAAGTAAATAAGATCTTGAATTCCTGTTTATAATGAAACTGGTTTATGTGCAACTTTCTGAGTGGAATTCTGCTGACAGAGCTATGGGTTGAGCGTAATCAGAATTCCAAGTAAACCTCTCTCTTTAAGATACTGTTTTCAAACAGAGTCACTGAAAGGCATTTTCTGTTTCCACCAGTCAAAAGAAGACTCTAACATGAACGCCGAGTTGATATTCAGAAACAGGTGACGGGGATTGAGATTCTACTCCGGCTCAGGAAAGCCAGCGGGTGCATTGCACACAAAAGCCGCTGGCAACTGTAAGGTCCTGGAAGGAGGTGGCGTGAGGTTTCTCTGTGAGATAACACTGAAACCAAAAGTTCACTCTAGCTGGAACCCACAGCTGTCTTTCAGATCTAATGTTTCTGGGATAGGGAAAGTCCAAGACTTGGAGAGAATTTTCAAAGTAAAAGCACTATACCAGAGCTAGTTCATATGCAAAATAATTGAAAAAACTATAACCACCTAAATATGTGTGTGTGTCTATATGACAGGCTAGTGAGAGTGTGAGAAGCGTGGTCTCCTGTTGACTCACTGTGACCCACTCCAGCCCAGAGGCCTCCCCACTCCCTCTGGCTCCACACAACCTGCTCTGGGAACTGAGGGCTGCTGAGGAACGCACAGTGGTTTTAACACTTACCAAAGGGCTGTAGGAAACAAAAGAATACACAGCGGGACAGAAAAAATTTGCTGGTTCCTGTTCCACAGGACAGACACTGGGCCCAAAGAGCAGGCAAAGGACATTTTAAATTACCCTAAGTTGGTGTCTAACACGATAAATGCATTATTGCTTAAAATGAAGGAACGTAACTTCTGAAGAGAAAACGATCTCACTAAAGTCTGAAATGACAACATCAGAACTCCCCACAGTGATCTGTAGGATGGTCAGAATGTAGTAACTTTTGACATAGGGAACCAGTTTTAGAATCGAGTCTCTTTAGGAACTTATGTTTTTTTCCCATCTTTCAATGAGACTTACTTGATCACTGTCTATAGTTCACAACCTTCATTCTTAGAAAGACCCAGAATTAAGGGAAATGAGGTACTTCACCTGAAGCTATTGTTCTCTTTCAACCTTTAAAATTTTAGCCTTTTGCCAAAAACACATATCTCATTCCTATAATGACTTTTTCCAATAGCCAACAAAACTCATCTCTATGATATTAAATTAATTTGGTAAGGTGCCTGGGTGGCTCAGTCGGTTAAGCGTCTGCCTTCGGCTCAGGTCATGATCCCAGGGTCCCAGGATGGAGCCCCGTAGGGGCTCTTTGCTCAACAGGGAACCTGCTACTCCCTCTGCCTGCCACTCTCCCCTGCTTGTGCTCCCTCTCTCTCCAATAAGTAAAATCTTTTAAAAAAATTATTAATTTGGTGCACATAAGATATATTATAATTTAGAAGAAGCTTGCTAACAAAAACAAGCCTAAGACTTAAGTAATGAAGCCAAAAGTAACTCCTGAGAGGCTGACGGCCTCTAGAGAATCAGGAACGCATATGGCAATGCAGGTCTCCTCTTGGGCCATCAGCAGTCACTTTTGGTAGAAACCAGAGAAGTCCAGGAAGTGGAGGCATGGCAGTTTGGGCCAAAATCAGTCTCCTCCTTTACCTGTCACTATGAAAATGTCCTTTTGAGAGTCATAATACAAATATAGAGGCAGTATGACAGGGAGATGAGACCTGAAGAGAAGGAACATCAAATACTATTTCGGACTCTTTAAAGGATACACAGTATTTTAAGGATAAAAGAACTCCTCAGAAAGGGGCAACAAATAAATTCCTTCTACCACCAAAGAACCACCCTGCCCCTCAACCCCTTCCCCCTACCGTTCCCCCTATTCCACTTACTTCTTTCCTTCTACTATTCCTCAAGAATGGTCCACCTCAAAACCCCTCCTCCAGAAGCTTCTGCTCCTTTAGGGAGTCTTTCCTGTGCTCTCCATTCCCTGAACACACCCCACCCCCACATTATCCTGTTCTCTGTGCTGCTCTGCTGTGACTTTTTCATCATTCCTTCGAGTCATGCCTCAGAGAGTCACACTGCTTTATAAGACCTGCAGCAGGCATGGGCAAGGCCATAAAAGCTACATGCACTTCCTTCTGTACTCTCTGGAAACTCACCAATCATTTTCATAGTTGGCGTTCAAAAATCTGTAATTCACTCATGTGGCAGACCTACTGGTGTGGTCTGAGCAACTTATCACAGTGAAGTCCTGTTCTAGATGGCCTACGCTTCCACTGACTTACACGGATGTTCCACAGTCGTGTGTCCAGGAAAGCACTCTCCACGGGACTGCCTCGGGCCCTGCATTATTTCAAATTTCATCTAATTGCTCTTTAGAAGTAGCATTGGTTTCTTCTTGACACAGGATGAAATAACTCAGATGCATAAAAGTGATCCAAGTCAACATTCTGGCAATTAGGAAAGTGTCCTCTCTGAGGCCACTGCTCTAGGCATTCCACCAGACACAGCATCATTGTCTTAAATCTGTATTAAAATGCTGAATCCCACTTCTAGAGGTGTTTGGTTTTTTAGATTTCCTTGAGCAACAACAACAAAAAAATGAGAAATGAACTCACCACACCATAGGAATATGTGTCACAAGTTTCAGACACAGGGAGACTTTGTATAACTTCCGGGGCCATCCATGGGAAAGTTCCAACCAAGGACATGTGTGTTGTATGGTTATGGAACCGAGAGGCACCAAAATCACATATCTGAGAAAAGAGAAACAAGTATCAACCTTCTACTACCGATTCATGAAAGAATTATCCATCACAAAAACTTACACATGAAGTTAACAAATACTTCTGAAAAAAATTAAAAGGAGTCCTACCTTCAAAACCCCATCAGCAGCTATAACAACTAAAAAAAAAAAAAAAAATTATGACAATCCTATTTATATATGATTTATGATTTATGACCCTAATTTATTTAAGTCATCTTATGCTGAAAAACCCTGTAAACTTCTATCTTCCATACAGCATATGAAAAGTAAAACTGAAGTATTTACTGCACTGAAGATTCTGCAAAAAGGAGCTGACATTAAAAAAGGAATAAAAAAACTAATTCCATGAGGTGCTGACTAAAACGTTTCTGAACATTTGTTTAAATCAAATGTAGTACTGCCCAGTAAAAACAGCATACATTAGTAATAGTAAAGAGAACCAAACTTTTTTTTTTTTTTTTTTAAAGATTTTATTTATTTATTTGACAGAGATCACAAGTAGGCGGAGAGGCAGGCAGAGAGAGAGGAGGAAGCAGGCTCCCCGCTGAGCAGAGAGCCCGACGTGGGGCTCGATCCCAGGACCCTGGGATCATGACCTGAGCCGAAGGCAGAGGCTTTAACCCACTGAGCCACCCAGGCGCCCCGAGAACCAAACTTTTTAATACAGATTTTATTGACCTATTGGAGAGAGAGCATGAGCGTGGGGAAGGAACAGAGGGAGAGGGAGAAGTAAACTCCCCATTGAGCAGGAAACCAGCCTTGGGACTTGATCCCAGGACCCCATGATCATGACCTAAGCCAGACACTGATGCTTAATGGACTGAGCCACCTGGATGCCCCAAGAACCAAAATTTTTACTTGTGTTCTGCCACTAGACTGCCAGCATGATGTTGAGGAGGTCTTCAATTTCATGGTATATATTTTTTCTCCCAATTGACGAGTAATTTTCTTGTAGGCAAGGACAACATTCATTCATTCACTTATTCATACATTCACTCACTTAACAAATATTTGCCAAGCACCTGTTATGGGCAAGCCCATGTACTATATTCTGGAAGAGGAAGGTGAGCAAGACTGTCTCTGGCTCCTGTGTATAGTCTCCTGGGAGAGACACTGAAACCAATGTCTGTAATCATGTGGGATAACACCTGAACCTAATATAATACTGTATGTTTATACTGGAATCAACATTTAAAAAATTTTAAAAATTTTCTTTAAATATGTAAGCAAGTGGGACAAATTCTACGAGAGACACAGAGATTGCCTTGAAATTAAAGAGCAGGGGTATCTAAGTCTAAGGAGGTCAGGAGTTTGCAGAAGAAATGCTCACACTAAGACCAGAAGAACAAGATGGGACTAACTAGACAGAGGAGTGCTATGGGAGGGAAGCTTTTTTTTTTTTTTTTTTTTTGGCAGAGAAGAGAGCCTTGCAGAAGGTCGGGAACAGAGGGGAAAAAAAGGCAATTTTGGAAGGCAGGGGCCTGGGCTGGAAGAAATGGAAATCCAATGAACCATTTTAAGCAAATGACAAGGTCAAATGTGCAGAGGGGAGAGTATATGACAGAAGAAACAGAACTGGTGGCAAGGAGATCACTGTGCACCCAAGCGGGTGCAGTCCAAGAGAGACTTAAGGAGGCCCATACAAAGGCTGTGGCAGAGGAGAGAAGCAGATGGAGTCAAGAAACATTTAGGAGGCCAGATCAGGGGTGTTAGGGTGGCTCCCTTGGTGAGTGCTGGATACTTGGTTTTGACTCAGGTCATGATCTCGCGGGTCGTGGGTCGTGGGATTAAGCCCTGCATCAGGCTCTGCACTCCGTGGGGAGTCTGCTTCCCTTTCCCTCTGCCCCCCCCCCGCCCCGCTCACACACTGTCTCTCTCTAAAATAAATAAAATAAAATCTTTTAAAAAATCGGGAGTAGGGGTGCCTGGGTGGCTCAGTTGGTTAAGCGGCTGCCTTCAGTTCAGGTCAGGATCTCAGTCAGGGCCCTGAGACCAAGCCCCACATCTGGCTCCCTGCTCAGCGGGGAGTCTGCTTCTCCCTCTCCTGTTGCAGCACCCCCTGCTTGTGCTCTCTCACTCATGCTCTCTCTCAGATTTAAACAAAAACAACAAAAACATCTTTTAAAAAAGAAGAAAGAAAAAGAAACTTTTAGGAGACCAAATCAACTAGGCTTGAGTAATGGGGCAGTGGGGATGGGGGTTGGGGGGAGAGGGAGGGCTCGAGGAGGAAGTCAAATAAAGAAGCAATCTGGCACAATGGTTAGAACAAGAGCTCTGCAATCAAACTGTTCTTTTTTATCTGACTTCTGGCTTAGGGAATTGGTATTGCCATTCGTGGAGAAAAGTAGGACAAAAATAATTCTGGGGGTGGTGCGGAGAGGAAATGAAAAGATCAATAGGGACACAATATATCTTAGAGTCATACAAATATCTATGTGGCCTATCCCGATAAGCAGACAGCACGTGGTTCTGAAGCTGAACTCTGTCTGGAAGTGCTAACAGGCAGACGGGGCTTTTACGGGAGTGGGTGAATGAGAGCGGAAGAGGCGAGGAGGTCCAAGGTAGACCTTGAAGAACTGTTCTGGTTTTAGTTTTTAATTAAATATTTTATTCATTTATTTTAGAGAGAGAGTAAGTGAACGAGCAGGGGGGGAGGGCAGAGGGAGAGAGAGAATCTCAAGCAGTCTCTGCACTGAGCGGGGAGCCCAACACTGGGCTGCATCTCATGACCCTGAGATCATGACCCCAGCCGAAATCAAGAGTTGGAAGCAACCAACTGAGCCACCCAGGTGCCCCCTGGCATTTCTTTTGTAAACCACACAGTGCCCTGAACACAGTAGCGGAACTGTTCTTCCTCAGCTGTTACTAATGACCTTGATAAGTGGGGAGAATATACTCTTGGCAAGAAATAGCCTAAGAGTAAATGTGATACTATATATAAACTGTTCGTATTTTCAAATAAAAATAAAAATAGTGTTAATATCATATTCAGTTACTTTTTAAAATACCTCTACCTTTTTTCTCATTATAATATTAGTAAGTGCTTCATTTAAAAAAAAACCTAACATAAAAACTTCTAACATAGAAAATAAGACTCTTTATTATTCCCTGTTTCAGAAAAAAAAATTGCTAAAAGTTAGGTCAATATTTTTCAATGTGTACATGTTTTCTCATCAAGTAACTGCACAAATTGTAATTTGTAAAATTCGAGACAGTCTCCATTGTTACTTAGTTTCCATAATGAGAGCATGGATAAAATCTGTAACTTAATCATCCCCATCCCATGAGATATTTGGGATATACTGATAAAACAGATTTTAAAAAGTGAAGTCAAATAAGCTGTGTATATTGAAATTCTGAGCACGGACTAAAAAACTAAAAATCTATAGTCATAAGACTCTGATACTTCCTACTAGATTCTAGATTATTTCCTAACAACTTCCTGTTCGCCAACTCGTTTAGATAGTGTTTAGCTTCAGGAAGTTTATGCCTGTAAGGAGCCAAAGGATAAGTGATGACCCAGCCAAAGGAGAGAAGTCAGCCACAGTTGCCGGGCAGGGTGGAGGTGATGGTCCCACCTGGATGACTGATGAGTGGCAGCTGCCAAGAACTTCCCTTGGTTCCCGCCCCACCGCAGACCTTACAGACCCCACAAGGGCCCCTGGCAGATCCCAGCTTCTCTTCCTCCACTTACCGGGACTACCCATTGCAAGGATCACATACTTAGCATACACCCATTTTAACTGCAGTGATTTAAAGATTTAAAAAAAAAAAAAAACGTACTGCTCCTGCTCCTTACTTAGAAGAATAACTTAGAAAGCATGTATATAAGTAAAGCATGCAAAGGGATTGACAGAAAGATTTTTTTTTTTTTAAAGTAGCAAGCTCTAACGTTTCCTTGAGCTAGTGTGGGCCAGCTACATAATCCCACTCACTGCCTTTGTCCATTAACTTCCAAATGACATAATAGAAGAAGCATTCTGATACTTTCCTACTAAGAAGTAATACTGTCTAATCTGTGAGACATTTTAAAATGCTCACTTTCTAAATTAGAAAATACAGGATCATAAATAAACTTTAGAGAGTACAGAAGAAGAGAAAGAAGAAAAAGAAATCATTTGCTTTCCAAACTCTGAAATGTGTTGATCATTTTTGGGCACTACTCCAAGTAAAATGACGGACATAAAAAGTTTACACCAAATAATTCAGAAGTAAAAAGAACAAAACTCAAAACTGCTGGTACAGAGAACCATCTAAAAATAGGAGACTACAAGTATAGGACTACATAATTTGATCTAGCAGTACCTCCTATAGAGTGATTCTAGGGGCGCCTGGGTGGCTCAGTGGGTTAAAGCCTCTGCCTTCGGCTCAGGTCTGATCCCAGGGTTCTAGGATCGAGTCCCGCATCGGCTCTCTGCTCAGCAGGGAGATTGCTTCCCCCTCTCTCTCTGCCTGCCTCTCTGCCTACTTGTGATCTCTCTCTCTCTCTGTCACATGAATAAATAAAATCTTTAAAAAAAAAAGTGATTCTAGAGAAATAACTAAGGATGTTTTAAAAATTTTTGCTGGGGGTATCAAGCTCAACATTTTTTATCACAGAAAAAAATGTAAACAACCCAAATATACATATTCTGTGCTGTTTATACAATGGAATACTATACAGCTTCTTGAAATAACATAAAGAATTCTGATATTTATCAACATTGGAAAGATTTTCATGGTATCAATGATGAGTCAAAACATCAGGGTACAAAAAGATATGAAAAACATGAGACTATTTCTACAACAAGGTGTATATATTTCATAATAAAATAGGCAAAATAAAAACTTAGGACTACATTACCATTTCTTGACTTGAGATCTCTGTGAATCACCTTGACAGGAGCCTCCATATGTAAATAGTGCATTCCTTTTCATACAAAAAGGAAGAATAGCATTTAATATCATTTTTTCAACATTGCACTGGTATTAACTTTCCATTTTAAAACATCAGTATTACCTTTCATATTTTTGCAAAGGATTCAATGGCAGAAACAAAATTCATGTGCTCTGTTTTTATATGATTGATAAAATAGAGACAGGATATGTCTGCATTGGGAAAACTGGAAAATTCATGTGCTTTAATCTCTTAGAAGTTAGAACTTGATTGTGGGTAAAGCTATTACAATACCTAATAAGGACACCTTAATTTTCTGTAGTCTCCACAAAAATAGCACAGTTACAACTGGAGGAAGTGGTCCAATGACTACGATCAGCCAAAGTTCCGACCAAGGTTTTCGGCTTTCATTTGGATGTCTGCAGCTACCCCGTTATTTTCTCAGTACTCTTTCCAGTAAGACCCTGGGAGAGGTGAGGGTGCAGGGGAAAACTGGTTGGATTCATAAGTTGTGGTTGGTAAAGGACTCAGAAAAATTTACAGTAGTTACAAAATATTCTCTTTTATAAGGATGGATCTTCGGGATAATCTATATTTAACTGTACTCCAAAATTCTCTCCAACATATTTAGAATGTATATCAAGTTACTTAAGTAAATTGAATGTATATACAAATAGTATTATTTTGAATATATTATATATCTTAAAATTATACTTTAAAAGACACATATTTCATAGTGATCCTCTTAGTAGCATCTGACTCTCTCTCTCTATGTATCACATACCTCCTTAGAATAAAGAAAAAGAGTATTTTCTACTGAAATACATTTCCTTTCCCTTTACTTCTCAAGTTGTCTTTTCTAAATAATGGAAGAAAAAGCCTCCCCATTGCCACAACCACACAAGCTCTTTTTGTTAATGAACTATCCACTACATGTCACAAGTAGGTTTTGGTTCTTTTTTTGAGTATATAGAAAATTTCATTTTTATAAAGGCTAATTTTTAAAATAATCTATTATTTTTCTACCATTCTGATTCTTAGATATTGAAGGTGTAAGAACAAAGAAAATTAAAAAATTTAAACTCCTGTAATACAAGAAAATGACTGAAAAAGAGTCAAGTTCACAAAAGTATCAGTAATTTTTAGCGATCTTAACCAAGATATAGCTAGAATACAGGAGAGCATTCTTCTAACACAAAGTTCTCCACACTACATACTGAAAATGCAAGAACTACAACCTAGGTAACTTTTAATAACCTCTAGGATTTCATAGTGACCTCTTTCTTAAGAACCAAATTCAGGTAGAATCTGTTTAATTACCATTAGAGGCAGGGCTCCATAGTGTCTACACTGGCTGACAGTGAAGATCTCCAAAAACAACATTCAGATACTAAAGCTTTAAACAGAGGCCTTTTCTTCCTTATGGAAGATGTTATAAGAGGAAAAATACCATAAGTTATATGTGTAGAATGTACAGTATGCATTTACAATTAGTGTGCATAAACACAGTAGTAATCACAATCACATAAAAATCTGTTTTTATAGAGCCCTCCACAATTCTGCCTTATTTTTATTGCAGTGAACAATGAAGAAGGCTAAAAAAAACACCATCATCAGTTTTGAGCTTCAGGGTTCCTAAAAAAGATTTGACTGGTATCATTCGAAGGGGGAGATGGGCAATCAGTGAGGACCCTTCTGAGACTGGGTCCCGGTTCACCCACTTGAATCCTTCTGCTTACACACTGGGAGGGGCTCGCGGCACTTTCAGATGTACCTGCCGGCCGACCCTCCACTTTCCTTCCTACCCAGAAAGGAGACAGGCTTTTTTTTTTTTTCCTGGCTTTGAGGAGGTGTTCTCTCAGCAGTGATGTTAAGCAATGCCTATTCAAAATGCATGAATCAACTCTAATTTGAAATGAATTTTTAACTCTTTGATTTCTCAACATCTTGTTGCTTCTGTGTCTTCCATCTTGGTCAGACTGAAAGGTGCACAGCTGAATGTGACAGAGAATCAACAAAAATCAAGGCTTCCTGCTTCATCTCCGAGTTCTGTGCCCTGTTCTACCAGAGAGAGGTGAAGTCATTCCGAAAGCACAGATTTCCTCTTCCTTTTACAGGCAATTTTAAATAGTAAGTGTTACTTGTGACTATCAATAAATCTCTTCTCTGGCCCTCTCTTCTCACCTGGAGCCAGACAGAGGAGAACCTGCCTCTCGGGGCAATTCACCAGCTATGAGAAAGGGATTTTCCTGCGCTGCGATTTGGCACACAGTGTTGTGTGCCCCCCCCCCCCCCCCCACCTGCCCCCCCCCGCCCCGTCCTCTCTCATCTCATTCCCTCCACCCCTAGTCTTTACCTCCAGTTCCAGTCTGCTACTTCATGAGCCCTGCTCTTTCTCTTCTTTGTCCTTCTGACAGAGTGCCAGTGATCTGGAGAAAGCCCAGAATAACTGAGCTGATCTGGAGCCAAGGGACTTGCCCCTTAGACAGGGACTGCACTGGGGAAGGGCCAGGAGGGACAAGGTTTTTATGGGACAAGGTTTACAGGCCTGGCAGGGGGGAGGGGAAGTAGAGGGATTGGAGAGGGGGTGGAGGGAGGCAAAGAAGCATGTGCACAGCAGGAAGCAGAGTGACTGCTGTCAGTTGATTTGTTTGCTGTCCTAAATGCCAGTAAGTCATACCATGGGTGTAACTGGCTAAGCACCCTAAATGCAAAGGTCTGTAAGGTGAAGTGCGTTCAGTCAAAGACTGCTCGGATATACAGACACATTTATGGAAGTGTATTTCCACAATGCTTCATGCAGCTCTCAGTGAACACACGTCCCTCGGCTTACAAACACGTGGTTCCTGTGAACTACTGATACATACAGACGTGACTACGATGTTACACGAAAATGTCTTGAAGAATGCGAAAATTTAAGGCTGATTGGAAATGCCTGATGCATGAATACACAATTAAGTTAATTAACACAGCCAAAGCCTTAAGTACACCATCCTAAACATAGAGCTTATTATTCTTATAAGGTAATGAAGTATCGTTCAGCAGCAGCATTTTGCATGAAATTTAAAAAAATTTTTTTCTTCACTTTCCCTATTTGAAGAATTTGGCAGGTGTTGATGAAACTTAAAACTGACAAGAAAATTCCCCAACGGGAAGACTGTTACTTTTGGAAATTACTGTATGACTTTCCGGTGAAAGCGGAGTGTGAGTTGCTCTCCTTACTGAGTGCTAAGTATCCTTTTCCTTGCTTTGTAAAGAGAAGCTTTTAGAGATTGGAGGAGCAAAATGCAAAGGAGTGAATTGCCCTGGTAAAATCTGGACACACTTGCTTTCTAGGGGTTGCTAGAATACAAATGTAACTATCAGTGTTCATTATTTAGATTAAGTTGTTTCCAAAGCAACTTTGACAGTTATAAATAAAACTCATAAACCTTCAGTTAGGAAAACGGAAAAAAAAAGAGATAAAAATAAATGGAATTTAAATTGCTTTAGAAAGCATTAGTCTATGTCAGAATTTATGAGGGGAAAAGAACTGGGCACCTTGTTTAGGGATTTTGTGTATTAAAAATATTTCATTTCCAGGGTGATTTCCAAGTTTACATTAAATAGAAAATAAAAATCTGAATTGCTTTCACATGGCAGGGCAAATAAAACTTTTTTTTTTTTAAGTGGTTACGATTTTTAGCATATTATTATGTACACAAAATAAGAACTAATCCTACAATAAATCACATTTTCTGGATACTGAGTCTAAGAGGAGACTTGCAGAACTACAGAATTATGAGCTTTCCATTTAATGTGTCAAGCAGGCTGGTCAATTACAATGTCACAAAATGTGGCAAAAATGGCTGCCTTGGAGTTATGGATTATGTTGGAACATAGTTTTAGGGAAAGAAATAAAGTGAAGAGAGAAAAGGAATGCAGGAGTGGAAAGGCAGTGACTTAAAATATCTATTAACCCCTCCCTCCCCCAAGAGAGAGAGACAAACCAAGAAAAGACTCTTAACTATAGAGAACAGATGGTTACCAGAGGGGAGGGGTGGAGGGTGGAACAGGTGAAGAGGATTAAGGAGTGCACTTGTGATAAGGACTAATACACAGAATTGGGGATCACTATATTGTACACCTGAAGCAAATGTAACACTATATTATATAACTATACTGGAATTAAAATAACCTGTAAGGAAAGTTGTAAAATTCTTGCTACTTGCAGACTGAAAAAGGGACATCTAAAGACACAGAATAACAAACCTTTGTCCTTAAATCACCATGTCACAATGGGAAAACGTGCCCCACCAAAACGTGCCTGTAAGAATACAGGAAGCCTTATTACCTTTGGCTACATCAGTGGCCCAGGTCATAATGTGATCCATGTCCATCTCTTCACTTCTGTTACTATTAATGTAATCATAGAGTGATCCCAGAGAAGCATATTCTAGTTTCAAAGGAAAAGAGAAGCATACAATTAAAACCAAGGTGCCTTTCAGAAATAAGACTGTGTACACCTGAAACTAATATAAGTCAATTCTACCCAAATGAAAAAAAACAAAAACAAATTTAAAAATAAGACTTTAAATTCTCATTGAGAAAATGTGTTAAAGAATTTACCAAAGAACATTAAAAGCACATAAAAACCGTTACAGGCTGTGGTTATTATCCTCCTGAAAAGAATCTGTTAAAGACAAGACCGCTGAAAGAATGAATGGTAAACTTTAACTGAGGATGAACTCAAAAGCTTTCTGGATAGAACTGAGACACACAGGGAGGTGCTGGAAGAACGCATCTGAAACAAAGGCAGGCACGTATATAGGTATTTCTTTAAAAACTGTCATTCTAATGAGATAAAGATTAAAATACATAAGCAGAGTATTTATGTGACAAGGTAAACAAATCAATTCTTGTTGCATCAGGATTTAGAAGAGCCCTCAAAACGTAAGCACATAAAAAACCCAAGAAAGTGAGAAAATTCCTTCAAAAGTGGTTTTGAGAGCATCTGCCTTCAGCTCAGGTCATGATCCTGGGGTCCTGGGAAGCCTGCTTCTCCTTCTGCCCCTCGCCCTCTCCCTTCCTCTCTCTCTTAAATAAATAAATAAAATCTTCTGGGGCGCCTGGGTGGCTCAGTCAGTTAAGCATCTGCCTTCACCTCAAGTCATGATCCTGGGGTCCTGGGATGGAGCCCTGCATCTGTTTCCCTGCTTCGTGGGGAGCCTGCTTCTCCCTGCTTATACGCTCTCTCCCTCTCTCTGTCAAATAAAGAAATAAAATCTTTTTTTTTAATGGCTTTGAGATATAAATTACATACCATAAAATTCGCCTGTCAGTGTACAATTGGGTGATTTTCAGTAAATTGACAGAGCTGGAAACCACCACCACAACCCAATTTTAGAACCTTTCTAGCACTCCAAACGGTTCCCTTGTGCCCATCTGTAGTTAAGCCCCACTCTAAACCCCAGCCCTGCAGTCTAATTTCTGGCTCTACAAAGGTATCTTTTCTGGATATTTCATATAAATGGAATCATGCAGTAAGTGGCCTTTTGTGTCCGACTTCTCTTCACAAGACAATTCCAAGATTCACTCATGCTGTAGCTTGTATCAGTACTTCGGTCCTTTTTATTGCTGAATAATAGTCCATTGTGTGGATTTACAATTATTTTATTCACTCACCAGTAAATAGACACTTGGACTGTTCCTGATTTTGGGCTATCGGGAATAATGTCCTATGAAACTGTGCAACTGTTTTCCAAAGAGGCTGTACCATTTCATACACCCGCTAGCACTCTCTGAGGGTTTCAGTTTCTTTACTTGGTACTGTCCCTGTCTTAATCACAGCCGTTTTGGTGAGCAGAATTCTAGTGGCATCTCATATGTTAATTGCACTTTCCTAGTGACTAATGAAGTTGAACATCTTTTCACGTGGCTATGAGACCTGAGTATATATTCTCAGGCAAAATGTTTATTTCAATAGTTTGCCCACTTGAAGATTTGGTTGTTTTATTAATCCCGAATTTTAGGAGTTCCTTGTTTATTCTGGAAGCAGGTCCTTTATCAGATTTAGGATCTGTAAGCATTTTCTCCCAGTCTGGAACTTGTCTTTTCATTCTCTTAACAGCATCTTTCAAAGACCAGAAATTCTTAATTCTGATGACGTCAACTTCATTGTTTTCTCTTTTATGGACTGTGCTTTTGGTGTCATATTTAAGAACTCTCTGCCTAAGTCAAAGGTAAAAAGATTTTCTCCTATTTTTCTTCTGAGAGTTCTATACTTTAGCTCTTACACTTAGGTCTATAACCCATGTTGGGTCTATGACCTATTTTTTTGTGTGTGGTTTAAGGTAAGGATTTAATACCACTTTTTCACATGTGGATTTCTAATCGTCCCAGCACAATTTGTTGAAAATACTATCTTTTACCCATTGAATTGTCTTGGCACCTTTATTGCAAGTCAATTATCAGTGTTAAGATTTTTTTCCCCTAAATTCTTGGGGCGCCTGGGTGGCTCAGTGGGTTGGGCCGCTGCCTTCGGCTCAGGTCATGATCTCAGAGTCCTGGGATCGAGCCCCGCATCGGGCTCTCTGCTCTCTAGGGGAGCCTGCTTCCTCCTCTCTCTCTGCCTGCCTCTCTGCCTGTTTGTGATCTCTCTGTCAAATAAATAAATAAAATCTTTAAAAAAAAAAAAAAAGATTTTTTTCCCCTAAATTCTTAATTTTGTTCCATTGGCTACATGCCTGTCCCTCGGCCAATACTGCCTGTATCCTTGAGCACTATATCACTGATTCCTACAGATTTATAGTAAGTATTAAAATGAGGTAGTTTGAATCTTCAACTTTAGTTCTTTTAAAATTCTAGATCTTTTGCATTTCTTTGTGAATCTTAGAATCACCTTGCAGTTTCTTATTTTAAAAAATCTGCTGGAATTGAGATAGGAATTGTTTTGAATTTATCAATCAATTTGGGGAGAACTGCGATCTTGACAAAAATGAGTCTTCCAAACCATGAACATGTAATGTTTCTTGATATTATTTATATCTATAGTTTCTCTCAGCAACGTTTTATACTTTCCAGGGTAAAAAGTCTTACACTTCTTTATTCAATTTATAATCAACTATTTTATTCTTTTTGATTCTACTGTGAATAAAATTTTATTTTTTTAAGATTTTATTTTCAAGTAACCACTACATCCACAGTGGAGCTCGAGCTCACAACCCCAAGATCAAGAGTCATGCCCTACTGAGCCAGCCACATGTCCCAAAAGAAATTGTTTCTTAATTAATTAATCAATCAATCTGGGGATTCCTTGGGATTTTCTACACAGAGAATGTGATATATGACAGTTTTATTTCTTCCTTTCCGGTATGGACTCCTTTTATTTTTCTGGTCTAATTGCACTGGATAGAAATTTCAGTATAAGTACAGTGTTGCTTAGATGTGGCAAGAGTGGAACCTCAGGGGCGCCTGGGTGGCTCAGTGGGTTAAAGCCTCTGCCTTCAGCTCAGGTCATGATCCTGGGGTCCTAGGATCGAGCCCCGCATCGGGCGCTCTGCTCGGAGGGGAGCCTGCTTCCTCCTCTCTCTCGCCAGCCTCTCTGCCTGCTTGTGATCTCTGTCTGTCAAATAAATAAATAAAATCTTAAAAAAAAACAAAAACAAAAAAAAAAGAGTAGAACCTCACTCCTTTGTCCCCAATCTTAGGGGAAGAACATTCAATTTCACCATTAAGTATGACATTAGCTATGGGTTTTTTTTTTGTTGTTTGTTTGTTTTTAATTTATTTATTTGACAGACACAGCGAGAGAGGGAACACAAGCAGGGAGAGTGGGAGGGGGAGAAGCAGGCTCTCTGCTGAGCAGGGAGCCCGATGCGGGACTCGATCCCAGGACCCTGGGATCTTGACCCGAGCTGAAGGCAGAGGCTTTAACCCACTGAGCCACCCAGGTGCCCCAGCTATGGGGTTTTGTAGATGCTATCCATCAGGTTGAGAAGATTCCCTTCTGGTCCTACTTTACTGAGATTTCTTATGATAAACAGATGTTGTATTTTGCCAACAGGTTTTGTCTTTTTGTTCTATTATCTATTATAGTGCCTTACATTAATTGATGTCAGATGTTAAACCAACCTTGCATCTTTGGGATAAATTCCAGTTGGTAATGGGATATAACCCTTTTTACAGGTGGCTGGATTCCGTTTGCTGATACAGCCCTTCTTCGACTTACACTGGGGTCACATCTCAATAAGCCCATCATAGGATGAAGACAGAGTTAAGTTGAAAAATGCATGTAGGGCACCAGGATGGTGCAGTCAGTTGGACATCCGACTCTTGTCTCAACTTAGGTCACAGTCTCAGGGTTGTGGGATCGAGCCCTATGCTGGGCTCTGTGCTCCGTGCGGAGTCTGGTTGAGGACTCTCTCTCTCCCTCTGTCCCTTTCAAATAAATAAATAAAATCTTTAAAAAATTGCATTTAGTACCCCTAACCTACCAAACATCATAGCTTAGCCTAGCCTATCTTAAACTAAGTGCCCAGAACACTTAGATTTGCCTATAGTTGGGCAAAATTATCTAAAACAAACACTATTTTATAACGAAGTGTTGAATACCTCATGTGATTTACTGAATATTGTACTGAAGGTGAAAAAACGGAATGGCTGTATTGGTACAGAATGGTTGTAAGCCTATCAGTTGTTGATCATGTGGCTCACTGAGAGTTGTGGCTCATTACTGCTGCTGCCCAGCATTACAAAAGAACATGGTACCACATATTATGAGCCCCAGGAAAGATCAAAACTCAAAATTTGAAGTACTGAAGTATGGTTTCAACTGAATGCCTATTCCTTTTGCAACAACATGGTCAAAAAACTGTAAGTTGAACCACTGTAATTTGGGGACCTTCTGTCTGTAGTTAAGAATTTTTCCATCTATGTTTATGAGGGATATTGGTCTAAAGTTTTCTTTTCTTACTATGTTTTTGTCTGGCTTTAGCATTGGGATAATACTCGCCTTACACAATGAGTTAATAAGTGTTCCTTCCTCCTTTATTTTCTGAAGGAATACGGGAAGGATTGGCATTTTTTTCGATAAACATTTGACAGAAAGCACCAATGCAATCATCTGGGTCTGGGCTTTTCATTATGGAAATGTTTTAAATTTCTGATTCAAATTTCTTTACTTATTATATGTCTATTCAGATTTTCTGTTTCTTCTTGAGTCAGTTTTGATCATTTGTATCTTTATAGGAATAAATTTATTGCATCTAAATTGCCAAATTTGGTGGCATAAAATTGATGACACCATTCCTTTATAATCCCTTTATATTTCTGTAGAAGCCATAGTGCTGTCTTCTTCATTTTTGAGTTTGCTAATATGTATCTTCTCTCTTTTCTCTTGGTCAATCTAGCTGAAGGTTTGTCAGTTTTATCTTTTCAAAGACCAAATTTTTACCT